CGGCCACATTGGAAGAGGAATACTACTCGAAACACGTTCGAGCTAAACCGAAACTTTCGCTGGAACGGTTCCCCGACGGTGGAAGACATCGTTGAAAACTCGAGCGACCTTGAGACGCTACCAACAACAGGACTAAGAACGACGCGTGGTAGTATTAGCGACCGTCGATCGATTAGCCGCGCTTCGATTAGTTCTCGCGAAGAATGAATGGTCCCTTATGCATCGTTTACGATCCTCGAAACTTTCCATGTCCGTAGATCCCGGTTACGTTTCCTGAATAATTCGCTAAACGCTACTCTTTAACCTTTCGCCTCTCGCCGGCCCTGTTGTCGACGCGCGAAACTTCTGCTCGCCGGACTTAATCAGGTTCGAGATAGAGATCGTGCTAAGAGCCATTCGCAAACAGAATGCACAACTGTTCTTCCCCTCCCCCCTCTCCTCGGCGAAATTAAGAAGAGTAATTGATAGCGTTTCTGCGTTATTAACACGACGAGTCCGATGATGGTCGGTTTCACCGTGAAATTCGCAACGGACGATGACATAATCTGCGACGAACGTTCTCCTGAATTTCAACGGCGCGATGCTGTTTCACAGTTAACCGATCCCTTTGTTCCCGCCGGGTTTATCGATTTTCGGATCGAATTCGTTCTGTAGCTACGCGACCGGTCCTCGTCGACCTTTATACGCATCCGTTCCTACTTCCCGCCTTGTAAAAATCCCCGGGGACCTTGACAAGCCTCTCCCTAGCCTCGACGTGCCCCGACTGGCCGAGTCGCTGCGTTTTTCAATAAGACGGTCCGCGTGTGCGAATGCATGTATGCACAGACACCTATGCGCTCGTGTGCTGAAGCTCTTTCGCGCGGCTCCCAGAGATAGTCTCCGTTGCAGCAAAAATTCTCGCACTTGCAGCGCCTTTCGCGATTACGTCAGAAACGATACCATTGCGCCTGGGAACGTGCGACGGCACCTCTAAATCCGCTTTCGACCAACTTTCATGGAGCATCGTCGCCAGCCAGTCGATGTTTCACCCTTGCTGGTGTCGCGTTTACTCGGACTATGAAATAATCACTCTTGGCATATAACTTAAGAATACAACTTAAGAGGAGAAGTTGAAGCAACTTGAAAATTGTCTTAGGGTAGTGAGAGACTACGGGCTAACGACGAGCTAGATTAACGCGATGGCAAGCGTACATATCGCAGAAGGTGTTAGGAATTTTCTAGAATCGCTTTCGGTCACGCAGCAATTACATTCGGCGGAAAAGACCTAATACATCACAGAGCAGCGTAAAGAATACTGAAACACTTTCGAGAGTTAAACATCAGGTTGCCACAAGAGCTTGTTTCTTTTCTCAGAATTGTTTGGTAAAATAATAATCATCGTTTCGGAATAATTTTGCGAGCAACCGAGAGACTCGATTACGTTAGTGAAAGTTTGAGAAGTAATGAAATTTCAACGAAAAGAATTTTCGAACAATCTAATTAAAATTCGAATTGCCGGGCTGAAGAACTTTGATAACGGCGACCGCATACGTAACTTCGTTAATAGCGTGTGCATAGAGCACGAAAATCGAAAGACGATCGAACACGAACGTCCTTGTAATTAAACGCGAGCAGCGGGTGTATCGTTCTCTTCGGTGGCCGGCGTTCGTTTCCGCTTTCGCGTTATTGATCCAGCTGTTCAAGCATGGATCGGTCCGCGAGCATGGTCCTCCGATGCGAGAGAGATCCGCGCCGGAGAATAAAAACGTCTGGATGATCGTTATCGGTTCAACCACCCCGATAGCGTCCGTGAGCATAACCGACGCACACCGGACAGAAATATAATACAGCTGGCCGCGATTCGCCGTGTTTTCGTGCCAACTATTATATACAGGGTGGACCACCTGACCGTGCGACAACTTGTAAATTATGTTGGCGAACGCGAGCGACGAGGGTCGACTAATTAGACAGATTCGGGGAAACGCATTGTTGTCGCGAACGGCGCTCCCGCGATTCCTTAGTTAGCGAATTCGCACGCGTGTGCCGGTTCGTACGAGCACGTCCCCGATGGACCGTTAAACACGGTGAAAATTTCACGAGGAAACCACCTCGGACTAACGGGGAATGGGTCAGTCGTCTTTACAAGCTGCTCGCGTGTCTTTTCGCGCTCGGCAGGTTGTCAGTCGCGCGCTTCGCCGTGCTCTACGTTCTAACGCAGCCTATTATTACCCCGATGACGTTTAAAAATTCACGATTCGGAGGGAAATCGTTACAGGGCGGCGTTTACGCGTCGCTCGTGAGAACGTTACGGCCTTACATTTTTTTTTGTGCTCGGCGCCATATCCTGTTTCATATAATATCAACAAGCTACGCCGAATTCGTTGCAAATCGTACCATTTCGCGTAAACACGATATTCGCCGGTGTCTTCTAGGAGTGTACCGAGATGTTCTAGGACGGGTCTCTAGAACTTGTCAAACTATGTTTCTATTCTTAGACCAGAGTGACCGAATAACTTCGACCAGAGGGAAACTCGACGCGGTAATAATTAAAACGCAGTGACCATAAAATGCCCGAAAAATTCCGCGGGACTGATGGTCAAACGCGATTTCACCCTCCGGCCTTTTCGATCGTTCATCTTCGGCGGCCGGTTTGCTTATCTTCGGCGTTTTGTTCGTTTATCTTCGCCATGACTTCCGCGACGCGTTCCAGGTCAGACAGCCGACGAAAATCGAGCGTGCGTTGACCATACGAGGCACGTACGACCGTACATCGATCACGGAAACCCGCGTCCTAGCTGACACAAACGTACGTGCATCGGGTTGGACGTGACACAGGAACACCCCGCATCGTTCCGGAATCGACTCCAGACGAGATCGATCCGTTGGAAAAACGGGAAAACGGTCGGGTCGGTTCCTTTGCCCGACGTTCACGCGAATCGGTACGCATCGCGATCAAGATAAACATGTTTCATTTATAAATAGGTTACTGCTAGGAAATTTCTTAAACGCACAAATAAACGCCCGGTATCAGATCTCGTCACAGTTTCTGCACCACTGCTAGTAAATAAGTGTTTACAGTTTTCACGCGTTCCGTGGCCGACCGACTATCGAGACTCTTACTCCGACGTTCCAGACCGCGTACACTTAAATTAAGCGGCCCTCGAATTCGGACCTTTCGATAAGACCGTGTCTGACCTCGATCTCTCTCTCTCTCTATCTCTCTCTCTCTCTTTCTTTTCCGTCAATCACTAAAATTAGAGAGCATTAATTACACGTGTACCGTGACCTGTGTATTTATACATTCATTTGCCCTGGGGCACGTTCAACGACCAACAACAATCTAATCAATGAACGGAACCCTATAACGTTTCCCTAACGTTCAAGTTTCTTTCAAAGTTCATTCAACGTTTAAAGTTCTCCCTATACTTCTTCGAAAAAAGATTCGCGATAGCTGTTCATCTCTAAAGTTATTTAACCCTATCGTTTCAGTCTATTAAACTGGCTCGCGTTCGCATCTCTTTACTACCATTTCGATTTTACAACATTCTTTCATCTAGTTGAACCTGATCTTGCGTTTCCGAGGACTACAGCGAGTTTGGCTATCGCGACTCTTGCTCCGCAAAAACAGACTATAGCACCGTCGTGCAAGTATCGCGATGTCCACCCCTGTGGCCCTCCATCGGTTCAACCGTGTGTCGCAGCGAGTCCGGCTGATCATGACGGCGCGAAAGTACTTTTCCTGCCGAAACAGGTCTCGACTACCATCCGCGTACACAATCAACCGACCGATCTCATTCTATCAATCCTCTATCAACCCGTTCGAGCAGTTTCGCCGAGTTGGACCGAGCCGATCGTGAAGTTAGGGGATGCTTTCGAGGAATCCAGCAACAGTTGTTGACAGAGCAAAGATACCGCGTTCTCACAGTTGCACACATATTCATCCTATCGCTTAACGAGGCGATCCGGCTCGGTCGCGAGCGCTGCGCTAGTACAATTCCCAATCGGCTAGGTATTAACTTCGACCAGAACTCACTTTGGCCATCGCGTCGGTCGTGGGTGGGTCCTAGAGATCTCCCCAGGCCGAAACACTCGGATTCCAGTGGCAGCCGCGACGATTCTGGCCTCTTGACATCAGTCGCGTTTCAGTGAACAGCGGCGGACGAGGCGACGCTCGCATTCCCAGACGGTTTTGCAGCCCGCGCGACAAACGCCTCCTTTTCGTACGCGGACGTCTACAACATTCGTCGCCGCGGACACGTCGATCGCTTGCGGATGCGAGGCACCTCCACGCAGCGACGCCTCCCGACGCCGGCGTCGCCGAGAACGACGTTATTGATCGGCGCCGTGCGGAGGCGTCGCTTGCCCGCAGAACGGAGAAGGGGGTGGGAATCGCCGGTGACGGAGACAGTGCTCTCTTCCGTTGTCGAAGACGGGAATCACAAACCGCCGAAAATCATTCCGAAAGTATAGCTAACTGTCTCCTCTATAGCACCCTCCACCACCCTCTTCACAGTCCGTAATCGGGGATCGCATGAAACTGTTACAATTTCCAGTCGGTTGTTTACGATTTTACGATCCCTTTTGTTCCAAGAACTGTTGCAACGTGCAATTGAAACTTCTGTTCCACGTAATTCTTATTTCTTCAAAGCTGTGGCAAGCTAAAGGTTCTTGCAACAGAGTTCAGAGTTACAAAGTCAATTTGGAACAGAAAAGATTTACAAGTTGTTTTAGGAAAGTTAACAGTTCCATTCAATTTCTACATGTAGCCGAGTACATCCCTGACAGAAAGCAGATCATCGAGCAAACCAAACATCTATCTTTATAACAATTCATATACTTCATGTAGAAAATTGTTCCACCAACGTTACAATCAAATGAAATGATCTAATTCATTAAATGCAAAAAGAGTGTCAATCGTTGTTGGAAGTTTGACATTTTGTTAAAAATAATTAACAGTTACTACCACGAACTTGATACGAAAACGTCGCATTGCGATCATTTTCGAACTTTCTCGCGCTTACTTTGAGCGGCCTGAAGAATTGTTTTCTAAATGGCACTTCCGGAAAAATGGCGGTCCTTTTGGCGAAATGTCCAGAGAACTTGCTACGTGAAGTGGCCTGTTTCTGTAAAAGTTTCCAGGCTTCGGCTACGTCCATGCCACTATGTACGAACTAGGAATCCTCATTTCAGCATTTTATCCTGCAGAGACGCGATGGAATGTAATAAAATAGGTCTTGCAGAACGTTTAAGAGAATCTTACTCGGGTACAAACTTGATGTTCGCTCCTGTCGATCGTTGATCGATTCTTCTTTGAAGAGCTTGTAATATCTTGCAAACCGTAGAATAATGTCAGTCGAAAATAATTAAATACAATGGGTTATTTACCGCCAAAATTTTCAAAAGCATTCCCGGCTTTGCGTGAAAGACCATTTAATTTTACGATAACCTGTTCCCTCAGAAATGTACTAAAATTTCGCGTAAAGAAAGTTCGAAAGAAGATGAGGCATCTTTGCGATTATCTTGTCATAAAGCAGCCTATTTCTACAGAAATGGGAGATAGCTCATAGGAGATTCCAGGTCATCATTGCGAGGTTAAAAGTCCAAGAGAAGTACTTTCGAAGACGCCGTTAACATTAATTGCAAAACATTCATGACACGAAATCATTTCTAAGCGGCACAGAAACATTTGAATTGTAAAATTTGTCACAGTTCTTCACGGTTCAAGTACACGTGATCGTAAATTTCAAGGCGTACGTGACGTCGGGTCAATGTCGATTAAATGAACATATTTTCTAATTCTTTCATGCTAATAATGCTGATCAAGACTCACCATGCTGCTGTCATTCATGTTCCGTTCAGCACACGATCACGCGTACAGTACAAAACACCATAACTGCGATTATATCAGCGTCCGAGCACAATGACGAGACGTACGTTAATGTTTTGAAACTAGAGTATCCTATTATGTTTGCGCGGCAAATAAACCGTTGACCTTAGAGGGCGCGACGACCAATGAAAGCGTTCGGGGGAAAGCGTGGTAATTTCGTCGCAATTCAAACTGTTAACTGCCAGATGATTTCGATGCTAATAGCTTAATCTTCTAGTTCTATTTCGACGTTACTGAAACAAAACGCACACAAAAATGAATGATAACGAAAAGAAACACAGGGATTGAACGAGTAATAACGACAATCGTGTTTCGTTGCACATAGATACACAGATAGGAAATAGTTTTTATTTATATTCGGTAGCTGCACAACACTGTGATTACCAGAAATGCAGATACAGTAGCACATAAATGAAGATTTCGTAGTGTTGCCGACCTTTCGTCGTCTCGTGTGACAGTCGTGGGAAACAAAGAGCTAACCTTTAAAACATATTCTAACGTATTCGAAGAGCATCGAGTTCAACGATTCTCGTAATCTTATAACGATAATAAAGTCATACCATATTGTGACACCCATTGCTTCGCGAAACTGCACCTGCCCTGACGTAGATCACCGATCGTGCAAAACAATGTGATCATTTTATGTTGTAATTGTCATTTTCGTCATGCTGCACACCGGAAGCGCTTCCGATATGTTACGCTGACTTGCGAAGGAGCATCAATCTGGCAAAGATTCATCGACGAGTTAGCGTAACACACGGTTGTAGACAATTCACGGTAGATCCTCCGCTGATAATCCTGACGATTTTACAATAAAAACCACGTCACGCGATACCGTGGCTCGCCTCGCGACAGATAACCACGGTTTCTTATCTAGAGCAATTACAGAGTGACACTGGCATCCCGAGAAACGCAAAGTTAGTTGGCGAAGAGAAAACTCTCGCGGCTATCGGCTTTAAATGATAACGTGGAATGGATTCTGAAGATGTACTTGTTCCTCTTTTTATACAGCTAAAAAAAATGATTTATTTACATTGACTCACATCTAGAACGATCACGTATCCCCTTTTCAAATCGCCTGTTCCCAATCATTTCACATACGTCTGTGTTTTTCGTGGATATACGTTTCCGAGATACAATTAACTCTTATTAATTTGCGACGCGCACAATAATACGTCTAAAATTCATAGGACCGCAAGCGAACAACAGAGTCTGCGCAGAGAGTGGCGCGAAACGTTCAAAATTCAAACGTTTAAATTCGTCATCTTGTTTCACACGTTGCATCTAAAACTTCTTATATCTTCTTTATATATCATATATTATGCGAATTAATATTATGTTTAAGTTTATCGTAGGCTAGATCGTTTCAAATTGTCATTATTCACTTTAAATAGAATCTATGCATAGCGAGAAAAGTATTTGTACGTTTTTCTTGTTTGCAATCAATTGTTAATACTGTTTTCAGTACAAACATTGTAAACGATGCACCGAGTCTGGTTAGATGTACAGTAACGCTTAATTTTCTAATAATATTTATGTATATCTATAAGGCATGTATAGAATATAAAAGGCATCCAAGGCACGAAACTTAGACGGCACTTACTCAATCGAACAGCATGTTACATTTATCATGACCGGCACAAAATCATGTTACAAAATACTATTATTATTAACACGTGTACTTCTAATTGGACGAGAACCGGTGAAACCTGTACATCTGTTTAATTGAGAACGTTGCTTCTGACAATATTTCGTACACGGTCAAGTTAAATTAAACATCCTATATACAATTACGGTGTAATGTTAACTAGGCTTTCTCTTAATTAGCAGTCGGAAAAACTGTATGCAATTAAGGCTGCGTCAGGCGATTTGGAAACGGGAATCGTGACGCACGGTGCTTCCATTAACAAAGAAATCAAGAAACGATACCAACGAAGAGTAAAAGCTCTAAGTATAGGTATTACATATGTAACTATTTATACATACAACTTGCGACAAAGCTTTGTGCTCGTTACGTGTGCGACAAGCTCGATATACCTAAACAACGTTTAAAATTCGATATACATTGATTCAAAAGAAAAAAATAGAAAAGAAAAAGAAAAGTAGAAACTTCAACACCAATTACATTGTAGATCGGTATGAAAAATATTCTTTAGTTTGTTCAGGCTAAACGATTTCACACGCAGGTGATCACGAAGAAACGGTAAATGGAAACCCTCGATACTCGTGACTGAATTGGCTTTTATTCGTTGTGCAAATGGTTGTCTTCTCTCTTTTTTAGCGATGAATTATTGTCGTGCGCGTTCTTCTCTCTCTCTCTCTCTTTCTCTTTTTCTCTCTTGAATCCAAATATTTGTTACAATTTGATAAAGAGCATTCAAGTCATCGTTGTTTACCCACACGCAATTTGCTAAATTTGGTAGCAAAGAATCACAGCTAGGTACATCGACAAATCTAAATAATAGCAAGCGGCAGTGACTTTTGTTTCAGTTCAGTTCTGTTCTCTTCTTGGATAGCGTTTATATACTTAACGTTGAAACATACGTAGGATATACATAAAAGAAACAGTAATTCGTTGAATAGTAATGAATCGATCGGCAAGCCAGAAGATCATTGGAATATATAGTATGTAAATTGGATGTTGCAGTCTATGAACGTGTCACAGGTATCGCAGTCTATAAACGTTCGGTCGAGATTCGTGCTTCATCGGTAATACCTGTGTATCTTAATGCAGAAACTATGAAAAGTGTTGTTGGTGTGCGTGTATGCAATGTGTACATCACAATGTCTCATCATGAATACATAAAATGACAGACAATTTTCATTTCGCCTTAATCTCAATGAAAATATTCATATGACCTTTCTAGCACTTTACCGAATGTATGTGACATGCAATTCTCATACTCAACATTGTTTACACGAAATAGTTTTCACATAGACTTTATGGTCATTCTAGTAAATAGGATGTTATTTGTCGATGATTTCAAGTTTCGATAGAACTGATCGTGGCCTTAAATAAAAAGCGTTCACATACAGACGATTTTGGCACTTTTCAGAAATCTACTCATCAAATTTCCACATTTTGCATCAGGTTTAATACCAATCATTTGAATTGCACGCAACGCAATATAATCAGTATACTTTACGGTATATACATACATCAACGTTCATTGTAGTTTGGAATTCACGAATACATCTGAAAAGTGCTGGGAGATGGGGGCCACTACATAATCCCTTATTATAGTACTTTCAAAATCGGACGAGTAGCGAGTAAATGACGCTATGTTAGTTGTCACATTAGTTTTCTTATAAGGCTACATCCAAAGACTTACATTACACGAATGTTAGGGAACGTTGCATAAAAAATATCCTTTATACGCATTACCGGAGTTAATATTCCAATACGTCATCGGATGCAGTTAACTTCCAAACGTCAACGTGAGATCAGCATCTGATGTCTATATTGAAATATTAATTGCATTAGTAAAATCGAAATTAATTACACTTACAGTACAGTCTATATAGTAATAAATTTGAATAGTCTAAGTCTTGTTTAGGCATAAATCAGATGCTTTGAAAGCACGCGTACTGTTCTTTAAAACTGTAAACCTTAAAAATGTTACATAGCTGAAAATCTGTAGCGTTTTATCTCTGACGACTGGTAATCGCTTTCCTTTTGCTTCGTAGCGGTTGTTTTGTTCAACTGTAAATCTCAAAACAATCTAGTAAAGCGTTCATGGTACAGCATTAGCAAGTATCTTCACAACAATTGTCCATATATAAAATAAGATATTAGAATTAATCGAATAGATTTGAAAAATATGATTTCTCATATACACATACGCTACCGCTCAAAAGTAAGTATACACACCTCTGCTGTCTTTATTTTACAAGCAAATACTATGCAATAAAATCACTGCTTTTAATAGAACCACTAACCCTATTTTAAACATATTCAAAGCATTTATTTTTTACTATACAAGTTATCATCGGCAGTGACAATGACGACTCATCAGTCTTAGCTGAAATCTGCAAAAGCATAATTCACGAGTATCGCCAGTCAAAAATGGATAGTACTAAAGAACTGAGGTGTACAAATTAAAACATCAGGACTGGATAATTATGGACAGCATGTGGACAAAGTTTGGTTTTTTAACGATCAAAAATACACATCAATGTTATATAGGAACTATTTAGAGAAAGAAAAAGGCTTTGAGATCCTGAAAGCTTTTATAGGAACTGCTATAAGATAGTTAATGAAACATTTAGCAAGAAAAATTTTTAAAATTAGTATCTGTAATGTCAAGAAAAGGCCTTTTGCCTTATTTTTCTATATCGAAATTAATCATCAAAAATTCTAACTGTTCTACAGCTCACAGATCTAACAAAAATTTACATTTAATTTAGCCTGTACTAACATTTGAGCGGTAATGCATATATATATGTATATATGTATATGTATATGTATATATATATACATATATACATATATATATATGTAAGAATAGCATTACTTTAGGTCAGAAAGTTACATTGCGTAATATTTCGAATTTTAAATCGTTGCGCTGTTAGTGATCTTTTTGAAGATAAAAATGCGCTATAATCACGAACGTTTAATTGTGTCACTTGAATTTTGACCTCAGTCTAGTTTCTTAATTTATTATTTTATAGTAAATCTTTGGAATATACGCGGGTAATAATTTCAAAGACCCATTTCTTACATATGTATATACATATATACATATATGAATATAGATATATATATATTTATATTTATATATGTACGACATTATATTTTTACTAAAATTCTCTCCCTATGTAACAGCCGAAAGTTGTACAACTTCTTTTTGTGTACACTATGTTCTCTGAAATTTTTTCATACTAAGGATCACATTCAATACTTATCGACTTCTGCAATCCTTTATTTTCATAAGTATTATACTATCAACTATTTTTCCATTGCGCTGACAAGAGACAAGTCTCGTGTTTGGACAGCTTCGTTTCACTTACCATTCTCGTTATTCTTTCTTAAATCTCTTACAGTCTATATTACTATAGCACTATGTAATATTAAAAACTGCTCCCAAATCATCAGGTTTCTTTCTACATTTCACTATATCTTTTTTCCTAGCAATGAAACACAAAGCACAAATTATGACACAGAACTTATAGCATTATGGGGAGAACCCATTTGCGTTAACACTTTATCCAACCACTGTAATGGTCCGTGTAAATGTGCTTCTATCCAACAAGGAGTTGATGTGACATCTTGTCGATGGTATTCAGCACCCCATCCTTTAACAAAGGACATTCTGAAAATAATAAAATATATTACCAATTTCATCTGAAATATGAGTCTCTTTATCGTGATATGAAGTTTACCTTATAGTACACATTTTTGTTAACTCGTAAACAGCTTCGAAGCCGTGATTCACACTTTGCGAAAGTAGCTGGGCAAACTCCTGGTTATTAAATATCTTCAATGAACATCCTGGTGGAATCTTACAAACTGTACTAGGATGAAATCCGTGATGGTGATTACAATTTCTAGATTGCACGAATATAGCAGAGTCGGAAAGACATTCTGCGTATACTTCGCCACCTACATAATATAGATGCACTCCTTTGCCTATATGTCTTCTTGTATTCTCGATAGTAGAATTCCGATTTACATTAGATAATTGTCCAAGGCAAAAACGGTCAGAATTGTTGCTTGGATTTGTGAAGCCATCTACTATTACAGAGTGAGAGTGACAATGAAAAACTTCTCCCACTCTGCAGTTTAGCTCGTAATAAGCGATAGAGGCCCAATAGGGTGGTTCCTGGTAACACACTGGAGCCACTTCGGCTGAGCCAGTTGTATCCATTGCTACTGGATCAGGTGGTGGTGACTGTCCAGGTTGTGATCCATCTTCGGGTGGAGAATAAGCTGGAGGAGGAGTTTCTGGTAATCCATTGGTGCCATAAGGACTCTGTGGATTTGGTGATGTTGTACTTCCTGGACTGGGAACTGAACCAACTGAAGACATAGGCGAAGTTGGGTTTACACCCCCAGTGGATCCAGCATTAAATCCACTGGAAGAATATGATACATTATGCGGCATTGTTGGTTCGGCTATCTGGTGAAATGGTAGCAAAGAATGTCCAGGAGGATATTCTGAATGTCTTGGCACCAGTACTGGTGGAAGTACCGGACTCTCCACTCTTTTATAATGATAGGGATTGATACAAACTTCCTTCTGTTTTGCAGAGAAAGGATACTGACATAATTCTAATGGTTTCAATTCATGGTGAGATTGTAAATCTGGCCATCTCCATACCCGACAATAAATAACATGTGGCAGACCCTTACGATGCGATACTTGTAGCCTACCATCTAAACTTCTTGGTATTGTCACGCACTTGCTAGGTGTACCGGGACAACTCAAGGCACGTTCTAGCTCTTCTATTGCACCCTTTCTTTTTTTCAATTTTTTTACCAGCGAATCAACCGCCTTTTCAGCCCATTTTTCCTCTTCATCACCCTGCTTCCAGCCGAGCAACTTTTTTACAGCGGGACTAGTGAATGAAAATAAACTATTCAAAGAAGACATAGGTCCAGAGCTCGAGGATCCCTCTTCATCGTCCATGTTAAAAATACTGTAGTATTCAAACTATATCTATGATTTTTCTTATGGTATTCCTGTTCCTAAACAACCTGTAATTCAAGACAGTCTGTCAAGTTCCCTGAATTTAGAATTTCTTAATATAGTTGACACAAATATTTCTTCTACGTACGCTACCGTTGCAAAAACAAGAAAATTCTACAGAACATATTACGTGTCTTCGAAAATCTCTTTGATTCAGCTCATAAAGATATCGGTAATGCTAGTCAAGTATCGAAACAAATATTGTGTTACACGTGAGGTTAGATGTTACTAAAATTCGATACACCTATCGCGCTTCGGTGCGCAATATACACGAAACGTAACAGAAATAATATGCGTTTCAGAATGTTGTATGCAAACGAGATGAAAGTTGAAGAGAAACAAATTGATCACACTTACACGTAATTACTTAGCGATCCAGCATTGTTTTTACTACAATCTCCCACTGTTACCACATTCTTGACGCCAACCGCTCGCCATCACGATCGAAGAGAAATATTCGTCAATTTATCGATTCCACACCTTGACTTTATCGTGTTCTTAATAACAACAATTCTACGAACACGATAAACATCTAAGTAAATTTTCTTGTAACACAGTATAGCCACTCGCAGCGTTCATAATCTTTCCACCTCTCTCTCTCTTACTCTCTCTCTCTCTCTTTCTCTCTCTCTCTCTCTCTCTCTCCCTCTCTTCTTTCTTATCTTCTGTCGTCTGTCTTTCAATCTGTATCTCTTTTGCTCCTTTCGGTGGCGGAGAGTCGGGGTACAATTCGCAATAAGTAATATGTATGTAGTTAACAGAGAACGTACACACACAGAATTTTAGGAAGTATTCGGAAGTTTCTTTGCGTACTCACCGACACCAAACTGCATAGAAATAATTTCGATGCAGCGAAATCGTTCGATAAGACTCTATTCTTTTCGTATGTCGCGTGCAGTTTCAACTACAAAATATTTATCCATGGAAAGAACGAAACGTCNTCTTCGGGTGGAGAATAAGCTGGAGGAGGAGTTTCTGGTAATCCATTGGTGCCATAAGGACTCTGTGGATTTGGTGATGTTGTACTTCCTGGACTGGGAACTGAACCAACTGAAGACATAGGCGAAGTTGGGTTTACACCCCCAGTGGATCCAGCATTAAATCCACTGGAAGAATATGATACATTATGCGGCATTGTTGGTTCGGCTATCTGGTGAAATGGTAGCAAAGAATGTCCAGGAGGATATTCTGAATGTCTTGGCACCAGTACTGGTGGAAGTACCGGACTCTCCACTCTTTTATAATGATAGGGATTGATACAAACTTCCTTCTGTTTTGCAGAGAAAGGATACTGACATAATTCTAATGGTTTCAATTCATGGTGAGATTGTAAATCTGGCCATCTCCATACCCGACAATAAATAACATGTGGCAGACCCTTACGATGCGATACTTGTAGCCTACCATCTAAACTTCTTGGTATTGTCACGCACTTGCTAGGTGTACCGGGACAACTCAAGGCACGTTCTAGCTCTTCTATTGCACCCTTTCTTTTTTTCAATTTTTTTACCAGCGAATCAACCGCCTTTTCAGCCCATTTTTCCTCTTCATCACCCTGCTTCCAGCCGAGCAACTTTTTTACAGCGGGACTAGTGAATGAAAATAAACTATTCAAAGAAGACATAGGTCCAGAGCTCGAGGATCCCTCTTCATCGTCCATGTTAAAAATACTGTAGTATTCAAACTATATCTATGATTTTTCTTATGGTATTCCTGTTCCTAAACAACCTGTAATTCAAGACAGTCTGTCAAGTTCCCTGAATTTAGAATTTCTTAATATAGTTGACACAAATATTTCTTCTACGTACGCTACCGTTGCAAAAACAAGAAAATTCTACAGAACATATTACGTGTCTTCGAAAATCTCTTTGATTCAGCTCATAAAGATATCGGTAATGCTAGTCAAGTATCGAAACAAATATTGTGTTACACGTGAGGTTAGATGTTACTAAAATTCGATACACCTATCGCGCTTCGGTGCGCAATATACACGAAACGTAACAGAAATAATATGCGTTTCAGAATGTTGTATGCAAACGAGATGAAAGTTGAAGAGAAACAAATTGATCACACTTACACGTAATTACTTAGCGATCCAGCATTGTTTTTACTACAATCTCCCACTGTTACCACATTCTTGACGCCAACCGCTCGCCATCACGATCGAAGAGAAATATTCGTCAATTTATCGATTCCACACCTTGACTTTATCGTGTTCTTAATAACAACAATTCTACGAACACGATAAACATCTAAGTAAATTTTCTTGTAACACAGTATAGCCACTCGCAGCGTTCATAATCTTTCCACCTCTCTCTCTCTTACTCTCTCTCTCTCTCTTTCTCTCTCTCTCTCTCTCTCTCTCCCTCTCTTCTTTCTTATCTTCTGTCGTCTGTCTTTCAATCTGTATCTCTTTTGCTCCTTTCGGTGGCGGAGAGTCGGGGTACAATTCGCAATAAGTAATATGTATGTAGTTAACAGAGAACGTACACACACAGAATTTTAGGAAGTATTCGGAAGTTTCTTTGCGTACTCACCGACACCAAACTGCATAGAAATAATTTCGATGCAGCGAAATCGTTCGATAAGACTCTATTCTTTTCGTATGTCGCGTGCAGTTTCAACTACAAAATATTTATCCATGGAAAGAACGAAACGTCGTATACATAGCAGTATTATGGCGTTGCAGGAACATCATGGCGCCGTGTTTATGTAGACCGAACACACTACGAGAACTGTACACACTAACCATGCCGATTCATGTTGCTTATTCACAGGCTTCGCAGACATTTAATACTCCCATCGACAATTAAGTTTTCTTGTGCGCTTTATTTCGCGTATGCAAACATCGTTTATGCGTGCGTTCACATACGGCAATAATATGCACTCGTCGCGCTACGCATCGACAATGTATTCAACGATAAGGGCTGATCGTAGATGACTCACTTGAAAAAAATGATACATTAGAAAATCATTGTTGAATAGAAATTTAAGATACCGTTTAAAAAATTTCAATTACATTTTTTCTCGTGCTTATTGTTAGGTGTAATGTTGTGTAAGTTGCGTAATTAATCAAATTAACGTTTCGTTATTGCGTTCAAAGAATGAAATCAAAAAGCCATGATTGGTACAGTCTGAACACAGGAATGGAGGGAGATTTGATTGTTTCAATTATCTGGTGTAACTATAAATATAAAAATCGGTATATTTGAGTAATAAAAAAGATATTATACAATCGTACAAATTTTCGTACGTATAAACTCTCATTAATAAACGTACTGTTTCGCCAATGCTCTTAAAAATTTTGCCTTCCGAATGTTCGCTGCTTCCCGTTGTATCTCCTCGTTATTATTTGAATTTAATTCTAGTAAACCGATCACTTTAATCTAAAATAATAATTCTGTATTAATCGATTGCATTTGTTTCAAATTAAAAATAAATGTAGGGCGTTACTAACTGCTAGCTGTTTCCTGTGATGCTCGCCCCGTTTTGTATGTAAATGTATTAAATACTCGAGGATCGTCGTGTCCCAAATGCAATGGTAATATGCATCCATAGCGTCAGCTGGTGCGCAACTTTTCTGATCGCTCGCTGCCATTTTAAACGCTAAAGAATAATCGACTTCCTCTAAGAACTGGCATAGAACAGCAGCTTGAGTATAACATTGCAAATGAGCGCAGCATTTGATCATGCGTCTATAAACGAGATCGTCGATCTGCGATCGTGGTACTGGTTGGCTAAACAAATCACTAGCCACCATAATAGCTTCTAAATAATACTTCATAGCACTCTCGTAATATCCTAAAACTAAATAATACGCTGTATTAGCGCAATATGTTACTTATTACAGAAACCTCGTGTTGTCTAGAATTTCGAAACGAACCAAAATTAAGATCCCCCATTAATCTCAACCAAGGGACATTGCTCGGATAATATTTCAAAGCTTGTGTCAATAGCTGAAATAGCAATTCCCCTATAGTTCTAATATTGTAAGAGTTTGCGCTGCAAAATGTGAACATATAATTAATGATAACGCGACTGTCCATGTACATGGAAACTTACTTTGGTACACCAGCTGGCCAAAGAGAAAGATACTGTGTATGTAATTCAAGGCTAGATTCGTCACGCAAAACGTTGCGTAAACGCGCCAATAATGAAATAACAACTGTAAGAACCATAGGTTCACGTAATCTGCCTAGAGTATTTCCAATGCTAGCAATAACGTCTCTCGATGCACTACCGGAAGTGCCGCTGTTACCGCTACTGCTACGTTTTTGTGGTTGGTCTCTGCTTGGTCCAAAGGCGGCTAAAACTATAAAAGACTTTTTTAAATATAGACAGGTATCGATTAAACGTTATACACCGTTAAAGAATTCATAAAACGGACCCATGTCCCAGGCTTCTCTTGGGAACTTTCGTCCGCTCTTATACTTTACAATGTCCTGACAGACACTGCTAACAGCTGCTGCAAATTCTGTGTAGCTCCAACGTTTCTCTAAGCTAGTAAGGTAATCCCATTCAGCCATATTTAAAAGAAAGACAGTGCAATATTCGATGATCTCTTGCCGTGGTATAACTTGATCCGTTGCTTGTAATGCTCCGAGACATTGCTTGGATCTTGCAACCAAACTTTGCACATCGCCTAGAATATTTGTACTATTTTATTGTTCATGGTAACAAAGTGCATTGGAATTAATTATCCTTACATATGTTTGTTGCTGGCCAAGCATGAAGACACCTCCATATCTCAACGAGAAGACACTCCCAATTTACTAATTTACATAACTTAAATATCACCGTGTTTCCAGTTTGAGAATGTTGCTGTGCTTCATTCTCGAGTACAGTCAAGATCTCGATTGCGCCTTCGAAATCTTTCGACATTACTAATTCTCTGCTTTTAGCAAGTAACACATACGAATAATCTTGAAGAAAACCTCGCGGAAGAGACATTACAACACTTTGTAACGGAATTGGTAATTCCCAACAGCTATTCACGTGCCACAACGGTTTCATTCGGTGCTTCCCATCTAAATGTAATAAAATCTCGTGGATTTCACCGGTGTTGTAAGATTGTATTAACTTCTGTTCCAATTCAAACATTTCGACTCTTGTACTCTCTGGAATCGAAAGTGTTTATCATTGCACCGTCATGCCATGCTAAATGAATACTGTGAATTATAAAGATTAACATCTGTACTAACTCGTAAATGTTATTAATGGTATACCCCAATCGTTCTTCAGTAATAGATCTGGTAATTCCAGTTCTTCAACCGCGACTGATTTCCGAATTTCATCTAATTCCCTTTCATTAAATAATGCTACGTACGCCGGGTCATCAAGTACCTTAGAAGCAATCCCATCGATATCGCTGGTATGTACAAGATAAAGAAGAAAGTGAGATATACGTTTTTTATCAATCACAGAAGTCTTTTCCAAAACATTGTCAAGAGCCTGAAACGAGCATTGCATAGAATCAAGAACGGAGTAATATACTTATGTACACAAAAGCATTCGAAGCAAGAACTTATTTTACCCAAAAGAAAACATCAACTCCTTTAGGGCCAGCTGCTTTTATTTCTGTCACATAATCACCAAGAATGATACTACCGTCTAAGATTTTCCTTACTAAATTTAAACATTGAATTTGAAGTAAAAGATCGCGAGCTACTACAATCTTTCTATTCACAGATCCCCCTTGTATATCGAGTTCCAAATTGTCTCTATAAACTTGAGGAATCTCTCTTGTGACGTTGTCAGCCTGTAAAATCTGTAGTATGTTCTAAAAAATAAATATTTTATTACTGAATCCACAAACATCTTTTCCATATCCTTCTTAAAATGCTTACATTATACTGATCCTTAATCGATGCTTGCAACTGTTGAGTGAGTCTTGTTGTAATCCCTTCTACAGACACATCGCATGCCAAGCAACAACCATCCAAAAATTCTTTTTGGACTTTACAATATAGCCAATTCTCAGGATATGTAAGCCTATAAAATAGTTCTTTTGCTTCTATAATATGACACTTTGCTTCCTGATATTCTTCTTTCAACAAATGGAACTTTGCCAGATCATAATGTATCTAAACAGAAGTTGAATATTAAAGGAATCGATAATGATTGTTGAATTACATCAGTTCAATGTCTTTTAAAAGAGATACCTGACATTTAAATTCATTTATATTTATGGAAATCATATTTTCCCAATTTTGTTTGATTTCTGTGCTATCTTCAGTCAGCATTTGAAAAGTATCAAAAGATAGAATCTTTGGACTCAATTCTTTAGTTTCCAAGACATTATTTAAAACATTTACACTGTTAGGTATGTGCGCTTCCAACTTTCTAATCATGTCATCAACTATTCCAGGTGGTACATACGTCGATTCTTGAATACCTGGACTAATATACAATTAAAAATGTGAGTATGAAAACCAAAGTCCGACAATTATTATGTACAATTATATGCGAAGTTCATGGTCTCACATATGAAGAAATTGTTGCTTTGACTGTTTATTATACAAAGCTCTGTATGTAATCGCTCTAATGTGCCACCTATGATATAAAACCATCGTGAACAGAACTTGGTCCGATACAGCATGTATGGAAAATTCAGGTACAGCAGGTATTTCAACAGTCATATCAGATGTCACATAAATAAGATCTTGAAGTAATGTCATTTGTATCGGCAGAGGTAATTTTCTCTCTAGAACGTCTAAATCCCATTTTAACTGCGTAGCTACTTTTAAGGATAAAATTTTTAAAGCAAGGTTTCTATGGCTCCATTTGTGTGTGGTACTGGGTTTTGTTTCATTCGTTTCTGCATCAACGATTTTCACTTCATTCTCTTTCTGTTCAGAGTTTATAGTCATAAACTTTATTATCAAATCTGTAGCCGAAGGATCTACAACAACAACGAAAATGTAATTAAAGCTTTCATTAAGTATCTTTCCTTGTTCCGTTGAAAGTAAGGTTAGCTTATTATTTACCAGGAAACGGTTTCGATAAATGTTGCTGTAATAAGGAAGGATTTAATAAAAATTCAAACCAAAGGATCGTGTCAGGTGATATTGGCACAGTGCCTGGTCTTAATAAATCCACATCCATCATAGCATTGTTTCGAACGCAAGTACAATATCCAAAGTTGTAGAAGCCACCATGATAATAATGCGGCTTTTAAAACGCACAATGCTGCAACGAATATTGTGTTGTGACAGAGGTCGCTGAAATCAATTATCACTTTTGTATTTACGCGCAATTAAAGGAACAAACAAATCCATGAAGAATTGTTAATAACTAATTAATTATTGCGTGTTCTGGTCCAAAATTTTACAGAGAAATGTGCGTAGGTTCATTTAATCTATTTCCATTGCCAAAGTATCCTAGCAACGCTTAAACTGTTATCAATTCTATCGAAGAAAATAGACTCTGTCGGAGGTACATGTGGCGCCATTCGTGGTGAAACGCTGAAACTGTTAGTAAAATATTTGGCCTTTAGATTTGTCCAACAGCGCCATCCGTGGCGAAACGCTGAAACTGGTGACCAAATATTTGACTAACAGTTTCAGCGTTTCACCACGGATGGCGCTGTTGGACTGCCACTAATTTTGTTTGCTGCGACTCCTGATACTTTCGCGTCATCCCTCTAAAAATCATTAATAACTAACTAATTAAGTATCAAATATACATTAAACTGTACTAGGATTGTAGCTGAGACTTCAATCTAGATTTTTCAATCATAAATGTGCATATATAATGCCTCGAAAATTAAATATTAATTATTTACCGTGCAACTGTCAAATTATTTGAGGTTATTGCATGACACGGGTCCGAATAATTGTTAAAAACTGTTTAATTAGACACAAAATCTGACTAAAAACTATATGAGAACGGAGCTGAAGGTTCGTTCTGTGTTCCTCAATAGTTAATATTTATAGATTGTTAATGACAAGCGAGCTATTAACAAATTATCCGTCGAATTCACAAGTTTGCCGAGGAGCTCTATGCGTGTCTCTCTCTCGCACCGAAAAACGCATAAGTCTGTCTTTCTTGGATACCTCCATGCTCATCATGTGTCCCTACCACTTACCAGGGAATTCGGAGCGCGGCTAAAAAGTTGGTGGCACGACTCTGAATCAGAAAAGTGGAATCCAGTGCAAATAGGCCTGTTTATAGGGTTAACATTTTAAATAAAATATTGGTATTGAGAATCGTGCGCGTTAAATTCTGACAATTTTGGAGGATACTTTGAACTCTCGCGTGCATCGACATAATATTTTTAAACAGATTTCGTGACCGATTAACTGTTATTAACCATTTTCGAGAAGCTGGTTTGTTATGCTGGCGACGATAATATGCATTTTAGTTCGACCGTTTCACCGCTACGTGGTGATAGCATTTCGTCGCCCATCGATGCACCGTATTTAAACAAAAGAATGTAATTAGCTCTAATTATGACAATCGTGGATATAGTTTCGATTTACGGAATCCGTCACAAGTATTTTGTGGCCGAAAACGTTTATTAATTATATATATATTATAATATATAAACGTTTATTCTCGTCGCGATTTACATTACGTTTTACGCTAAAATCTTGGTAAAAATTATTCTTCAATGCATGCTTCTCGACATTGTAAATATTTCAAGCGCGTTACACCCATACATATCTTATAATTTTTTTTTATTGTATATTAATAACATTCTCGCAGGCATTAAGAACAGAAGAAACTAGGAAAAGGACAAGCATAAACGAAGCAAAGGGTCTAGGGAAAGGGAACAACAGCGGTGGAAACAACGGAAGAGTTAAGATCCGCGAATACTTACCCTTGCAATGTCTACTTATCTTTGATCGATAGCTCTGTGATCTCGTGAAACCGCAGGGCGTAAACGGACGGTACAAGCACGATGCATTATTAGTAATATCGGTAATATTGTCTGCCGCGGTACAAAAGGAATTGTCTGGGTCGTACAAAAGGAAAGAAGCAGGTGAACCGGAGTCGAAGCGCATTCCAGAGGTTTCTACCTGTCCCAAAGTCGACGGTGGTAGCCAGAAAATACAGGTGCCGCGTGAGCGAGTCCTGAGCACAGCAGGTAGAATGTTTTCGGTACACCTGGCGCCTCCGATTGTCCGAGCAAGCATTCCAATAAAATCGTCCGCGTTCAGAGATATTCATTCGCGGTGAATAACGCCGAAGGCATCCAGCCGTATCGATCAGGCGTATCGATCGGTCGAGCATGATCTCGGCGATGTGCATAATCCGCAGGAAATAGCCTTCGATTTCTGTGTAAAACAGCCTTCGGCTATACCGACGATTCGGATGATCTCAGACATCTGAAACGAAGGCTTGCGCGAGAGAGTCGAGCTGACAGCCGCCGCGACTCGGCGTCTCCGGGGCCCGTGGCCCGCCGGGATCGGGGCCCCTCGCGACCACAAGCATCATTCTGCTCCTCCGAGAGCCTCCCACGAGGTAAAACACGGCGTTAAATCCCCACCCGAAAGAGGACAACGGTCCAATCGGACGAGCGCCTTGTGTTCCCGCGTCGCGTCGCGACCTTAAGCTCGAGCGTCGTCGGCGATCGCTTCTGGGTTCGCAGACCCCGGTCGTCGCCATATTGGCAGTGCTCGATTTTCACGCGAATCTCCACGAAAGCCTCGTCACCGCGAGCCACCAGAAATTCAGAGATACGGTCGAGATTGAACGCGAGAACCGCGAGCGAGTGCGTCGCAATCGAACGCTTCTGGTGGAACAGCGGGGCCTGGAAGGGGGATCCCGAGGCTCTCGGCTCCTCGGCGTCGGAGCGATTAGGCGAAGTGCGTGAAAGTCTAGCAGTGTGCGGTGCGCGGTCACGGACGACGAGGTTTCACCGTGGAATGCCCCACTCGGTGTTACGGCACTGAGTGGCTTGTGAAATGCGGCGGCGGCGGCCCAGCAGCGAGAAAAACGGGGGGCCGGTCGAGCGCATTAGCTCTCGAGAGTGCAATATCGTCGGTATCGTCGGGATTCCGTGAGAGAGGCTGCCATACAGAATCTGTTCACAGCCAGTCGGAACCGTGGGGCCCGTCGTCCAGGCCCTGGTGACTCCAGGGGCCTGAAGAGCCAGCTAGCTCGCGCTATGCTCGGCCTTGTCGACCGCTCGACCGTCGCCGCCGCTGACAGATGGAACGCGGGCATAATCTGCTCGGTGCCTGAGCGTGACGCGAGGACGACGACTCTTTAATCCCGCGGGGAAGCCAAGGCTGTTCCTATCGACTGTCTCGCGGAGCGGTGAAAGAGCTGTCGGATAGGCGATAGACGAAGTCGGTGAACACAAGATTCCGCGCAGCATAGTGGTTTGATTTGGTCGCGAGAGTCGCGGGTAACGGTGGTGATCTTGCGCGAAGGGACGTTCGTGGAGCCGTGTCGCAGGGCCCTGGAGTAAGGCGAGGCTCGAGGGGCCCAGCTGCCGAGCAGCGGAGTCGATCATCTCGCGGGAGCGAACGAGAGTAGCGGACAGTAGCGGAGAGAGAAAGAGGGACCGCAACGGTGACCCAGATCTTGGCGGGTTCTCGCGAGACGAGCCGGGCTACGAGGAAGCCGCAGTGGTGGACTTTTTGAAATGGGACACGACACTGCCCGGAGCTAAATTAGCCGCGATGTCCAATAAGAGTAAGTCCCAGCCGCAGCAGCAGCAGCAGCAGCAACAGCAGCAGCAGCAGCAGCAGCAGCCGTCGCACGTGATCAAGCCAGCGACAGTGGAGCAAGTGCCACCGCGATATCAGCCACCGCCGCAGCCGACCACCGGCATCCTCAAGAACCATCCTCACTTCGGCACCGGGCCATCTTCCGTATCAGCCGGCGTGTCGACCGGCGTGCAAGGTCCTCCGGTGGCCTTGAACCATCATCAACCGTCGCAGCCGCGACCGGTACCGCAGCAAAAGGATGCGCAGGGCAAGTACTCGCCTCGAATAGAGCACCGGCATCATCCTCAAGGCAGTAACGCTGCCCTGACAGCGGCGGCCGTGCCGAAAACCGGCTACCTTCAGGCCAAGGTCGGCCAAGGTCAGTACCTGCCGCCTAACGGTCAGTATCCTCCCACGGTAAACACTGCACAAACGCCGCCGATTAGACAAAGGATCACCGACGACGAGTTCCTCCGACTCGGACCCGTGGAGATGCTCAAGTTCGTCCGGAAGACCGAGACCGACATCGCGAGGCTCGCCGCCGAGCAAAATCGACAGATACAGAGCTTGGTGAGTGATGATCAAATCTAAAAGCCGAGTCGGCGTTAGGTCTAATTCGCTGGAAATGGAAAGTGATGTCGTCGCGCGCGTCGCGAAAACTCTGGCATACCTATACCTACTGCGCTCTTCTTCCGGTCCCCAGATTTTCGGGTCTCTTCTAGGTCACGCGGGTCGCACACGTGTGCCGGCGCCCGTGATCGACTCGCCAGTGCTAAGACGCGACAGGCCGATGCGTTTAATGCTCCGAGATCACGCGACGCGTAATCTCCGTTAAGCGAGATGCTGTTGATCGAATATCGGCGCCGGTATTGAAAGAAACCACGTTTTCCCACAGCTCAGCGAGCTGCGCGCGCTGAAGGAGGCGAACCAAAGACTGAGCGACGACAACCAGGAGCTGAGGGATCTCTGTTGCTTCCTGGACGACGACCGGCAGAAGGGCCGCAAACTGGCCAGGGAATGGCAGAGGTTCGGGAGGTACACAGCGAGCGTGATGCGGCAGGAGGTCTCCGCGTATCAGAACAAGCTGCGCCAGCTGGACAATAAGCAGCAGGAGTTGATAAAGGACAATCTGGAGCTGAAGGAGCTCTGTCTCTACCTGGACGAGGAGCGAGGCGGCGGCCAGAGGGACGACGGAGACGGGTCCAGCTCGAGCACGAACGCCGAGGAGACCGCGCCTCCTAGACCACGGCACGCGTCCACCTTCAACGGTAATATCGAAGAGCTTAGAGATGGTAATTTGTTCGCGGTAAATGGACTTATTTTGGGTTTACCTGACGCCGGGGAATCGTTCCAGATCAAACGATGCAATACGTGAGGAGTCTGGAGCAGCGTGTGAAACAGCTGGAGGAGGACAAGAGCGTGTTGCAGGCACGGGCACAGGGATGGGAGGTGCCTCCCGGCGAGATTTGGGAGAATCCAAATAGTCCCGGCGAGAATCCTCATCTGGGAGGTCGGCCGGAGGCCGTGGTGCGGGCTCTTCAGGTTCTCGAGGTCAGGGAACAGCTTGAAAGAGAGGGCGGCCACGACGGGGAGAAGGCTCTAGTTAGGGAAATGTGTAACGTTAGTACTTTGCTGTCTCTAAGGCCAGTCGATCTGTCCGGCGGTAGCATAATTCACCTTACGATTTGCTTCAGGTTGTCTGGCGGAAGCTGGAAGAGGGCCCGCAGACGAGACACTGAAGGACACTGTACCATAAGCGCGGTCTCTCTCCATGATCGCCATGCGAAACGTTATGGCGCGACCCGCTCGCTCGGGTGCCGCATCTAATGAGTATTATAGTCGTTGCCGCGAATGTTGTGGATTTCATAGATTTATACGCATGTACCTACGAATACTTCGATGTAAGAGTCAGCGTGTCGTATTTTTACAGTATTTATATAAAAAGATCGCAGTAGCGTCGTTAGAACTCTTCGTACGAACTGTTAACAAACGTTTTATTTTTATTACGAGCCGGCATCGTTTGATTTCGCTGATCCTCGACCGATCCCATCATCCCTATTATTCGGAGGGCAATACCCTCGTCGCCAGCGACGAACGGGTCCCGTTCCGCACGCCGATTCGATCTCTATTTTTAGCAAGTCAAAGGACCTTTTCTTCGGTGACCCAGATTCGCGACCCGGTCCACGAGGAATTTAGTTTACAGTTTGTCCGCAACGGCCGACAGCCGAGCCAAGGACGCCGTATGCCGAAGACGGAATATAGCTGGTTTTTTTTACAATAATCTCGGCAGCCGGTCGAGTTGTTTTAAAACTTACAGAAAATATGGTGCAGTGAATCGGGCGCGTGCATCAGTCATCGAGTAACTTTATTTAAGTCATGTTTACAATACAGTTCTCCATGTACTCAACAACATTAACGAACATGCACTCTTTTGTCTTCGCTTCGGCACGACACGCGCAACGCTCGCGTGGAAAATAAAACTTTTGTTGTATGTTAATCGTTCCGGCCGATATCGTTAGTCGACGATGAATGTGTTTCTTTCTACATGCATCGCGAAGGACTCGCAAAGACAAAAGCATTTCTCGCCTAAGTAACTATTGAATACCTTTCGATTCATCAACCTTGTTTAGTTCAATTCGATGAGCGTGTGATGGATGCGAGCCCGCCGCGGCGATCCTCGTGAAAATGAATCCGTGTTCTATCGTGGATACAAGGTCATCAGAAGTACAGAGTTATGAAAAGATCGCGCGACGGAACTGTATGTTTTTGCGGTGTGCGTGTGTGTGTGTGTTTGAATTACGAGAGAGGTAAAACGCGAACAATCCATCAAGGACTAGAACATTCTCGTATGTAAACTACAGACAATTGTTTTATTATGAAAGCCGAACGCGACACGTAGATAATACCTATTAATCGGGTCTATAAAAAAAGGTATCGTATCGCATAGACGGTTCGTCACGCCGATCTAAGATTCAGCGGACCACTGTCCTCTTCAAATCCGAGCCGAGTTTAAATTTCACTTTAAACCAGGCCCGCGTTATCAACGGTTTGACCAGCCTAACATCCATAATTGAATCACATCGAATTGAAGCATTTTTCTCATTAAATTTCTCAAAGTAAACTACTAGGAGTTAATGTCAGAGAAATAGAGAGAGTGAGCGAGAGAGATAGAGATAGAAAGAGAGATAGAGACAGATAGATAGATAGATAGAGAGAGAGAGAGAGAGAGAGAGAGAGAGAGAGAGAGAGAGAAAGACAGGATAGAGATGTGCCGACAGTACAAGGAGTTCTCTTGTTCTACCTTAGTTTTTTGTTTTGCGCTCTGTACTCGTAACAGCTTGAGCAAAGGATCTCAACAACTACATGTTTCCCTGTTGTGTTTTTAGTCTTAAATCTCCGTGTTTGTGTATATGTGTGTGTTTTTACCCGTTTTTGTGTACGTGTACGTGTGCGTGTAGCATTAGGCGTTAAATCGTTTTTTGTTATTCGTTTCTGTTTTTTGCCCTGTTAGGCTGAAAGGTTTGTTGTCCAGAAAATAGTGCGTGTATACTCCGTTTCCAACAAAGTTTTCCAATACTTCTCCCAAGGCCGCAACGACGTTCGTTGTCGGCAACCGTCTAACAACCAACAAATGGGCGCCGAGTGTTTCGCACTTGCGCCCACGACAAAGCTGCGGAGCCGAAATTGCGTACCCGACCAACCACGATGGCCTCCGTGTTTCGGCAACCACAGCAAAAAGCACAGTGTTCCTCTACCGTGCACAAATTTCATGAGATTCATATCTCAGTAAATTGACAAGACCCCGTGTCGAGGCTGCCACGGCTCGTTTCAACGTATGTCGCGCATACGGACAAACTGTTGCCCGACCAGTTCCAACCCGTTGCTTATCAGATCAACATCATCGGACAGTTTGATTATTTTCGGTTTGAAGAACTCGGAACTTGTATCGCACGCCTGGATGTAATCTGACAGCACGAAATGATCCTCGATAAGCACTGGCGGTTGGTTCTGGTTCTGTGGCTGCCGATTCCGGGACCGTGGCACTTGATCCGCAGGTTCCATCAGGTTCGAGTGTTTTTTCCGTTGGTGTTGCAACAGCTTCGCCTACGGTAATCATTCCCTTTGATTTTCTCTTCGAATCGATGCAAATTGATTTGCTGATCGCGGTACACACCTTGCTAGCGTATTGTTTGTGGCACCATTGGCAACCCTGAGGAGTGGTGGTGATGCTACCGACAGTTTGGCTAAACGTTGGGTTGGGTAAATCAGAGTAATCGGACTCCTTTTGTCTGTTGCTCGGTGGTAAAGCGGCTCCCGGATGGTTCTTCATGATATGTGCTTTACGTTTGCTACTGCTTTTGTAGACCTACAACGTGATAGAACAGTGTTAGTTAAATGCAAGTCGACTCGCTTCCGAGATGGATCGTATCCGACCTTATCACAATATTGACAGTAATAATCCCTTGTCTGTCGTAAAATCGGCAAGTTCAATTCTGGGACAGATTCCGGTGCAACATCGGGATGACGTTTCGCCAGATGGTTGACGAGCATTCCTCTTCGTTTAAAGCCCACCAGGCATTGATGACATTTGTAAATGAAGCGATTGTAATCGTTCGGATTCACCTGCTCGTATAATACAAAGTTATCGATGAACGCTGTATATGAAACATTACGTGTGTTAGATTGATGGAAATACCTTCGGAACGAATTTCTTGGTCTGTGTAACTTGCGTCATTTGTTCCTCGGTAGCTGTTTGCGAATTGTGCAGTTTGGTCATGTGTTCCTTCAGTTTGTCTTTCCTCTTGAATTGTTTGCCGCAATTGGCGCAGTGAAACTCTCTGTGGGAAAAGCATTGTTCAGTACGTANATTTTTCTCATTAAATTTCTCAAAGTAAACTACTAGGAGTTAATGTCAGAGAAATAGAGAGAGTGAGCGAGAGAGATAGAGATAGAAAGAGAGATAGAGACAGATAGATAGATAGATAGAGAGAGAGAGAGAGAGAGAGAGAGAGAGAGAGAGAGAGAGAAAGACAGGATAGAGATGTGCCGACAGTACAAGGAGTTCTCTTGTTCTACCTTAGTTTTTTGTTTTGCGCTCTGTACTCGTAACAGCTTGAGCAAAGGATCTCAACAACTACATGTTTCCCTGTTGTGTTTTTAGTCTTAAATCTCCGTGTTTGTGTATATGTGTGTGTTTTTACCCGTTTTTGTGTACGTGTACGTGTGCGTGTAGCATTAGGCGTTAAATCGTTTTTTGTTATTCGTTTCTGTTTTTTGCCCTGTTAGGCTGAAAGGTTTGTTGTCCAGAAAATAGTGCGTGTATACTCCGTTTCCAACAAAGTTTTCCAATACTTCTCCCAAGGCCGCAACGACGTTCGTTGTCGGCAACCGTCTAACAACCAACAAATGGGCGCCGAGTGTTTCGCACTTGCGCCCACGACAAAGCTGCGGAGCCGAAATTGCGTACCCGACCAACCACGATGGCCTCCGTGTTTCGGCAACCACAGCAAAAAGCACAGTGTTCCTCTACCGTGCACAAATTTCATGAGATTCATATCTCAGTAAATTGACAAGACCCCGTGTCGAGGCTGCCACGGCTCGTTTCAACGTATGTCGCGCATACGGACAAACTGTTGCCCGACCAGTTCCAACCCGTTGCTTATCAGATCAACATCATCGGACAGTTTGATTATTTTCGGTTTGAAGAACTCGGAACTTGTATCGCACGCCTGGATGTAATCTGACAGCACGAAATGATCCTCGATAAGCACTGGCGGTTGGTTCTGGTTCTGTGGCTGCCGATTCCGGGACCGTGGCACTTGATCCGCAGGTTCCATCAGGTTCGAGTGTTTTTTCCGTTGGTGTTGCAACAGCTTCGCCTACGGTAATCATTCCCTTTGATTTTCTCTTCGAATCGATGCAAATTGATTTGCTGATCGCGGTACACACCTTGCTAGCGTATTGTTTGTGGCACCATTGGCAACCCTGAGGAGTGGTGGTGATGCTACCGACAGTTTGGCTAAACGTTGGGTTGGGTAAATCAGAGTAATCGGACTCCTTTTGTCTGTTGCTCGGTGGTAAAGCGGCTCCCGGATGGTTCTTCATGATATGTGCTTTACGTTTGCTACTGCTTTTGTAGACCTACAACGTGATAGAACAGTGTTAGTTAAATGCAAGTCGACTCGCTTCCGAGATGGATCGTATCCGACCTTATCACAATATTGACAGTAATAATCCCTTGTCTGTCGTAAAATCGGCAAGTTCAATTCTGGGACAGATTCCGGTGCAACATCGGGATGACGTTTCGCCAGATGGTTGACGAGCATTCCTCTTCGTTTAAAGCCCACCAGGCATTGATGACATTTGTAAATGAAGCGATTGTAATCGTTCGGATTCACCTGCTCGTATAATACAAAGTTATCGATGAACGCTGTATATGAAACATTACGTGTGTTAGATTGATGGAAATACCTTCGGAACGAATTTCTTGGTCTGTGTAACTTGCGTCATTTGTTCCTCGGTAGCTGTTTGCGAATTGTGCAGTTTGGTCATGTGTTCCTTCAGTTTGTCTTTCCTCTTGAATTGTTTGCCGCAATTGGCGCAGTGAAACTCTCTGTGGGAAAAGCATTGTTCAGTACGTATAACATTTCTCCACCTGTAACGCATAGATTGAGATGTACCTGTGATCGGAATGCTTCAGCAAGTGCATCTGCAGTTTGTCCACCGTGGCGAAGCGTTTCGCGCAGACCTGACACTTGTGCTTCCTCTCGCAATGATGCGCTCTAATGTGCTTACGAATTACGGAATATTTCATAAATATTCTTTGGCAGTAAGGACAGCAAAAGGTGCCGTCCTCCTTTTTATGAGTCTCGATGTGATCTTTCAACGTGATACTCTGGCTGAACAGCTGCCGGCACATGGGACACTCGAACACTTGCTTGTTCTCTAAACATCAATGAAATGGACATCAAGATTCGATTCCCCTTTGAAATTTCTTACCAGATGCATGCACGATTTACCTCGGTGAGTTTTTAGGTGACAGGACAACGCCGAATTGTTCATGAATCGTTTGAAGCAGATGTTGCATGGCAGTGGTTTTTGGTCTTCGGCGCCATGTACCAAACAGTGCTGTTGCAGCCGTACTTTTGTGGCGAAACGCTTGTAGCACATTGAGCACTTGTACGTGGACAAATGAGCCAATCTCTTTGCCGACAATCGTCCATGTTGATAAACGTGACTGACCAACTCCTTTTGTTTCTGGAATCGCAGTCCGCACTGCGGGCAAGTGATGTTCTGTATCTTCGTTTTCATTTTCTCCGTACCATGAGCAAGGCTGTGTATATTAAGCAACACCGGTTTCCGAAAGATCAGCCCGCAAACCAAACATTTCCACTCCTTCGAATTGTTCTGCCTCGAATTTTCTTTCTCCTTCAAGTTCCTGCCGTGGAATACTTTCACGCGACGAGAATGATTGTCCTCTAGCCGCGGCCAGGACAATTGACTCTTTGAATCTGCAATTGACACGTGTTATTTATTACTATTACTAATTTGTACACGAATGTTTTACATGCCTTTATCGTCCTTAGTCTCTTGCACGGGTTTTAACGATGTTAAATTCCTGCGAATCGCGTATTCGGTACTAGGACCAGCCTTCAGTTCCTCTTTCGGTAGGATGTGTCTCGTCGTCAAAAATACTATTCTATCACGTTGTTGGCAAATTACTAAGTTCTGTTCTTTGTATGTCAATGCAGGCCTGACGAAACGCATCCAATTCGAAGCATCTGCAACATACACGAAATATTTTCAATAGCTGTTGTTTAAATTGCATTGTACATTTAAGTATTAGATACACACTTTCGTTCGAAACGTCTACTTTAAGTAGCTCCTCGTTTTCGGTTTCATAGAGCAACGGCAACTCGTTCTTAAATGGGGTACCATCGTAGGGATACAAGATACCTTCTATGGGACCAAATTGGGTACGTTTCTGTATATAACGTTTCGCGAATATTCCGTAGTCTGAACCGCCCGATACGATATCAGAGCTGGATAGCTTATTTATGGAGAGGTACGATCCTGGCAGTGTTGCAATAGCACGAGCTGGTACAGGTTGATCCGCTATGGTGCACACGTTGTGCGATGGACAATTGTCTCCGGTGCAAACGTCGTCGCTTTCGTCGCAGCCTGCAATAATGAATAAGATCAGTATCATGCGAATAAAACTGGGGAAAGCGTTGCACACGTACAGGCATTTTTCTTATCGTTTATGCGACGCTTGGAACGTCTGACATTCTGCTTTTCGCTTTCTTTTTTCTCCTCGGTGTTTAGCAAAATTTCGTTCATGTCCTGATCCTTCGGTACCGTCAAAGTATCCGCCTTATTTTCTTTATTCGAGTTCTCTGCAGCAGAAGACAAGGTGGTATCGTCCACGTCTATGTTTTGAGCTTTGAACGAATTCATAACGTTCATTTGATCGTCTTGCATCACGAGAAAGTCTCTGCTCAGCGTAAAATCCGTGCTAGGCATTCCTGTTAACATCAATGGAGCAGCCGGGGATTCCAATCCAGAATTAGTCTCTGTAACACATTTTCGAATTTTGAATAGAAGCTTTTTTTGAAGATGGTAACAAGAAATTTACCTTGCATCAAAATCAATTCGCTGCCAACACTGGAAACCAATTGCTCCTCGTTCTCATTGGCAACAAAGTCAGGTGTATTGTCTGTTTGTTGTACAGTCTGTGTATCGATTGGATGACTCAACTGAGAGACATAGTTGACATTGGTTCTCTCATTGGACTCAGGTGGGGATATTAGAGGAGAAGATGGACCTTGCAGAACAACAACAGAATTATGAAAAGGAGATGGTGGAAGTTGTACAGGAGTAGGAGAATACCTAGCTGCTGAACTCATATTGGGATCAAGAGGACTGACACGGTGCTCGAAATCAGAGAGCGGGGAGGTAGCTCTAGGGGAGAAGGAGACCTGTTCGTAAGTTGGAAATAGTCGAGGATATTCTCTGGACTGATCTTCCACGTACTCCACCTGATGAAAAAAAAAGAGCAAACATTATGGTTGTTCTCTGAAGGAAGAGCTTACAGGTGGTAATAGCATGTGTTTACTTACAGTCAAAAATAACAACTTGTTACTCATCTTTTTGGATTGGTCACACACCGACGAGTGGAGGGAATGATCTGCAGGCCAATTTACCGAGGTGTCAGACACTTTCTCAATGTTTGGAATCTCAAAGGAACTAACAGGGGCCCCCTCAGGAGGGCCCCTTGGATTCATTTTAGTTTTCGTCTTGCACCAGGGATATCGTAACGTCCGTTACCTGCTGGAAACGTACTTTGAAAACGCTATCGCAATACGAATGGAGGCAATGAAATCGGAGATCTTTAACCACAACGATCGCATTCGAGCGACTTTCGGGACAGCTGATAAGCCACGACAACGCCATCGATCGTTACAACAATATCCGCGGAACGATTTATTGTTTGTCTTAGGAACGGAAAAACTTACCATCCTCAATGCATAAGTTTTCGAAGACGACGCACTTTTTGTCCTGTGATGTGATGCACCTGCTGCAGGCACACTAACTCGTCAACAATCGACGTTATCAATTTCATAATGCTGGCTGAGCACCGCTGCAACGGCGGGAAAACTTCGAATCGTCGAACGAGATCAGTAGAGCGAGCTCGACTTACAAAGAATTTTGAATTCATATCCGTTTCACTTCTTAATATTTATTAATCAGTCGACAATTATCAATTATATTTCCCGAGAGTCTAATTAACGTGTGTTATATGATAACATATGTTAAATGTCTACATATAATTATTTAAACGTAAAAGAATCGCTGCATTCGAAAGTGCATAGAATCGTTTTATGCAAGACACATTTAGAGTTACTATTGAGTGAAATATTTTCTTCTAGTTTCTAACAAATACATATACACAAGCAGTAATAAAATGATGAAGCGTGAGGGGTAGATTTCCGAGGGCGAAGCAAACCGATGGCGTCCTCCATCATTTGCCTCCACCCCCTGACTTATGAATGGGGTTGGGGAGGCACAGCTGCGTGTATAGGGGGTATCTTCCATAACTTTCCTTAACAACGAAACAACAACGCGTCAACACGAGACCCGTACACGGTTTCGATACATACGTATATCGTGTTCGCGAATTATAACGTTAAAAATAAACCGGCCATGACACACGCAAGCCAGCTGACCGATTTGATGGATCGGATGATGAATGTGGACATTTTCCAGCCCTCGGAGAAGCACCGAATGACACAGGACGAGAGGAAGACGTTCCTCGATCCGAACTTGATCATGGATGCGAGACATCGGATCCTCCGCGAAGACTTGTCCGCTTCTCCCACGAAATGCTCGGTCTTCGCGGAGGCGAAGAGGTATGACGTTACCTAATTAAAACATTCCGGATGGATTAAAACAAACCGTCGAATTCTCAGATTATTGGCACAGGAGGAGGAGACGCAGTCGTTCCTGAAGAAACAGCAACGATATCTGGAAAGGGAGCTGAGGAGATTCGAGGCGGAAGTGCTCAAATCCCGGCCGAAGTTCTCCGGCCCTTACACCTGCAAGAGAAAGAGTTTCGCGCCCTCGGACGACGAGGAGTTCTGGGGGTCTTGCAGAAGGACCCGGCGCAAGGTGGGTCCTAAATTAATCATTCCATTGAATCCACAACTCATAGAAAAATAATACTTAGCGGCTCGTTTTCGAGGAGAGCACTGAAAGGAGCTGCAGTTTGGAGAGTGTTATGAATTCTGCTCCAAAAACTGATGAGTTGGATGACTCCTCAACGAAGGTACAGAGGAAGGAGGGTCCGGAGACAACGGAGCAAGAATTGTCGCACTTCGGGAACATCAAGGTGATGATCACGGATAAGCCCAGCTCCGAGACCGAGCTGTATCGTTTAGATGTCCTGAGGAAGTGCTTTGACGCTCTGCGGGAGAACGCGGAGGAGGAACGTCGACTGCGGGAGATCAGGACGAAGATTCAAGAGAGTGTAACCTTGAGGCTGACAAGGAAGTACTTCGACGCCTGGAGAACACACGCGAGAAACGCAAGGATGCTTGAAAAGCTGCAAGAGGATCCAGGAGTCTCGGACGAGCGGAAGATCGAGCTGTTTATAAGCGCGATCGCGGAGCGTCAGAAGGATCTGATGAAGACCAAGAAATCGAGGAACAGAGAGGACGATGTGGTCACGAGAGAGATCAGTGTCATGAGAAAGAAGAGCATCGTTTTGAGGCCTGTTGTGGTCGAGTCACCGGCTCAGAGCCGACTGATCGCCCAGAAGAGGATCATAGATGATCAGAGAGCCAAATTGGCGGAGCAGAGAAGGATCATCGAGGAGCTGAAGTTGAAGGAGGCACAGAAGGAGATTTACAAGGCCGAGAGAGAGACAGTCGACATAGCTAAGGAGACGCTGACCCTCTGCGGGAAGATGACCAGAAGGACGTTGATCCAGTTGATGCAACAGGCTGGTTACAGGTAACTATTCAGTAATTATTCATGAGAGCCAATCGATGGTGTCTTCCTCTTACAAGGGACGAAAGCCTGATGGTGTCTCACAAAGCGCCGGATCCGCCCAAGTTCTTGTGGAGGATGGAAGCTCGTGCGAAGGCCAGGCGAGAGAGGATAAAACTGGCGGAGGAGACCCGCAGGATGAAGCTCGAGGAACAGAAGAAGCGAGAGGAGGCTGCTCTATTGGAGGAGGAGCAGACGAAGAGGAGATTGCAGCAAGAGGTCAGATAGTGAGATGGATCGGATGGTGTTGGCGCGATAGCAGAGCATGAATTTCACCTCGGGATTTTTCGTGCGTTTGTCGCAGGCTGCAGCTGAGGCAAGGAGACTCCGACGAGAACAGGAGCAGAACAGACTCAGAGAGATTGAGAGACAAAAGAGACTGAACAATGTCGCGGACCAGTTTCATCGCAGGTACCTACTGCGCCGGTATCTGATCGACCCGCTGTCCACCCTCGTCGAGCAGAAGAAGAGCAACGCGAAGAAGGCGGACGATTGGTACAGGTGCAACCTGGTCAGGAGGATGTTCGTGCTCTGGAAAACGGAGACCGAGACGGTGTGTGAAACGAGGATCGCGATCGCAGAGTCCTTCTACCACAGGAGCTTGATGATTAGTGCGTTCGGGGAATGGAAGCGGATGGCGAAGGAGGTGAATTCGAAGCACCAGGTCGCCGTGGACTTCTGCGACATGAAGATGTTGGATAGGTACTTCGGTTCATGGCGGACAGTGATTTTGGAACTGAAAGCAGAACATAAACGCAATGAGGAGTTAGCTGACGGTTGTTATGAACAGAAGTTGAAGGCGAGACACTTCTCCATGTGGAGGAAGTATCTCACGATCGCCGTGGATATTGCAGAAAGCGAGAAAAGAAAAGAAGAGTTGAGACAGTTGGTGCAAATAGTGATACCTGATTTTGATCCCAGACTGAGGGGCGTAGCGTTAGAAGACTGAAGTTACAATGGTAAAGTTTAAACAGATACGAAAATTTGTGACTCTTCCTCTTTCCTTTCTCGTTTTCGCGCTTAAATGTACCATACACAATCGATTGATACAATTTATTGCGATGATCGTACAATGGCCGCTTTATCACAGTTACAATAGATATATAAATAATGTGCACAATAGTGAAATAAAAGTTAAGTGGTACGCCAACTGAGATCAGCCGTTTCGTATTATAATGTTGTTACGGAGCAACGGCTTTGGCATGAATTGTTTTTAGCTATTAGAACGAAAGATTCCAAATGAGCGTTAAAGGATGTCGATAGAGAAAAGTGTGCTTGAACTAATTATTGGAGTATATGTTATGATTCACATACCGCCCAAGCGCCCGACGTTTCAGCCTCATTGTTCGATATTAACTTTCAACGTCCTCCGCGTAACGCAAAGCATCATCCACCAAGTAAGAACTAAATTTAATAATCTAGCCTAAATTAAATATCTAAGTTTTGCAGCAAAACAATCGGGACACGATTTTCAGTATCCCATTATCATATTGGCTCCCGGCATCGAGGAGACGTCGTTCGTTTGATGTTGTGCCAAGGTATATTAGCCAGACGTGATATATTAAATAGAAAAGTACCACGGTGCCAACCAGCAAGCTGTACAGCGCCGAGATGAAGCAGAGGGCAATGCTGAAACAATATATAAGCTATTATATATTGATTAGGTATTTGAAGCAAACACAGTTGCGCGACACGTTATCTATTCAACTTTTATATTTGTCGGAAAGCAAATAAGAGATATTACAATATTTACGACGAGTTAACGCGAGTCTCGACAATTATCACTATCTGACGATTTTTGAAGTTTGTGTTGTAGATCCTCGGTATCTTTCCAGTTTAATTTTGAGAATCTCAATAATGACAAGTATTGTGCTCCCCCTCAAGAATAATCTCGCATCCCGTATTATAATTAATTTCAGCAGATTGCATGCCCTCGATTAATTACAATAACTCAATGAAAAACCATCCAAAGAAATGCTTACTCCAATTGATGATACACGTCGCTGCAATCGTCTGGTAAAAGGACAGTGCCAATGAGTATGAACGGATGGCAGACACTGGTCATGGTTAAATTGGAGCCATAGATAAAAGCCACTGCAGAGAAGAACAGGCATCCCATGTACCATTTCAAGTTACTGGAGCCTATGCAACAATCCAACCTATGGTAGAAAATATAGTTTGTATCATTTCATTAGATAGGGATTACTTTCTGTACAAAGAAAAAATATACCATTTACAATGATATTCCCTATTCAGAATGCATGTCTGACACATTCGACAGTGATGAGCTTTTGGCGGTGCTCTCCTTCTACACGTGACACAAAGTTCTCCACTGCCTTCTCCCAACTCCAAACCTTGGGTCAATGCGCTTTCCTGACTGGCAGAGTCTGCGTTCAATCTGGTTTTGTAACCACAGAGCATGCCTCCCACGACACAGATTATAAATACTAGGTTTTCCTCCGGCAGGATCTCTAACAAAGGTACTACACTGATCTCGAAGATCAGCATCAGCATGACCACGCTGGTGATTGTCCACATTAAAAAGAATTTTGTGCGTAGCAGAAACCTCAGGAAATTATGGTGCAGATAATACACCAGCAATGGGGTAGTCACGAAAATAATGACAGTCCATAGTACCGTTTGGGCGGCTATCACCGCCAACATCGGGACCACAAAAATCGGTATTATGGCATCGACGGAAATTTGCTTGGCACCGGATCTCCATCCGCAGGGATTCCGCAATCTCTCCCACATGGTCATCTTTTATCGACAAACGATCTACCTCCGATCTATTTACTTTTTCATGAAGAATCGTGCGTGCATCGAGGTTAGGAACACTGCTATGGAGTACACCTGGCCATCAGTCCAATTTCGATGCCTGACGGTTCGGAGTTGTGTTTCGCATGAGACCAGATGGCACCATTCGTGGTACTCACTGTTAATTCAATTAACAATTACATGAAATTACGAAACTATCCTGTCAGCGCCCTCGAAAATCTTGTCCGTCAACGTGCTATTGTTTCGATGGAAATCAATACTTCTCTTTCGTCGGAAATCTTCTCGTGGCAGCGAAGTCGAACAGCGGATCGTTCTATTTCCACAAAGAATCGTTGAGGTTAATAACGTGCACCGTTTCCCTTCTAATCAAGTATATATATTTTGTTCGGTTGGTTCGTCGGCATCGAGGAAAAAAAATCTCGCGCAAGAGCATGGACCTGCGAGTACTTTGAAAGTGGCGCAAAAATCGCGGCCAGGGTGAGAATAACAATTCCCATTTATAGTGCCCAATCACAATCACCGCACGCGCTTCTAACAGTACGAAGAGGAACAATGGTGACTGTGTTGTTATTCTGATTATTTATGAATCGTGACGCAACGTTCCTGTTTTTCGCATCGAATCTATATCAACCGACACAATTCAGGTAACGAAAGTTCCATGGGCGTGCAGAGTCGGTCGTGTTTCTCGAAAAATCATTGCCATCTTGGGTCGAAGTCGAAGTGCTCCCGTTCTGATCTCCCGTGTGACATTGCCGTAATTGGCGTTTGCGCACGTTTACCACGCACGGCAATACCGACGGCGGGAACCGTTATGCGATTTCAAAAAGCACGATCGACTCGCGCGCCCAGAGAAAACGTTTTAACAGAGAGAGAAAAGTCCGTGCGTATATCTTAATGATCAGCTGCGTAACGAGAGGACCGAAGGTCAGCCGCTATCTCGGCTGGCTGTTTGTTGCGAGGTCTACATCTCGATCGATACTCGAGAAAAAGATCTGAGAAAATATTGAACACAGACTAAGCAGGCGCCACTCTCGCGCCTTTTTTTTGGCCGGTCAAATCGATTGATCGATCACCGAATTTTAGAGCGATTTTCGGAGTCGTTCGAAACGATTGTTCGATTCGAGATAAAAAATCAAGGCCGAGATTACGCGTCAGCCTAATCTTTCTTCCATCCGCTATAGTGCCATCGACCGGTTTCACATTGTTTATTTTCAAAGTCTTGAAATTTTGAAGACTCTTTCTTACGAAACGATTGAATCGATTCTATTATTCGAGCATACATTATAACAGAAATGGCGAAAGGTCTAAATAAATACAGTCTTGTAACAATGTCAGTTAAACAGTCTGTAAACAATGCAACGCGTTCGAGTATTTACTATTCGAGATAAAGTCAACGTTTAAACAGTCGATTATTTCACAGTTTCTGAAAATCTGTAATCTTTTCATAGTTCTTTTTTCTTTAAGGATTCGTAAACGGTTTCAACTTTGAATTGTTCAGCCCCTGCGTAGGCAACCAAAGTATATATACCCAAGTGCACATCCGGTTATCTACGCAAGGATCAAAGAGGCTCAAATCTTTGAATACTGTACTACCAGAGTTTAGTGACAAACATTGCGCTATAATAATAGCAATTTAGACTCTATACATTCCAGATTCTCTAAAAATCGTTCACACAATTATTCGACGAGGTATACCTTGCGTTTTTCCTTATCCTTTCGGTCAAATCGAATAGACGGACTATCTCTCACGTTACAATCTACTTCTTTTTGCTGATGCTCGCGAGAAGCGTCCGCGCCGGGACAAACATCGATGATGCGGTTTTTCGCGAACACGCGATCGAGCGTCATTATCGCGGGTCGTCGTTGCCGGGAGAGGAGGCTAATTAAAGAAACAATGGGGTAGAACTCCGTCCAGATAAACGCGGTGGCGCACACAACAACGGGTCGAGCACTGTGGTGTGTACGAGTCAAAGATTGATCGGCAATTACGACCGAGCGACCACTCCGCCGCCTGAAACTGAATGTTTTCAATTGTTTGCACGTGTTCAGCCGGTGTTATCGGTTGTTTGTCGGATCCGTGGCAGGAATGACCGATAATTAGAATCACGGGAGGCACCCCGTTCGTTCCGTGAGCCGTTGGCTAAACGCGAAAAAACACGATGACCATCGCATTCGGTGACAACCTTCGGTCAATTAACAAGATATCTGCCAAGGATCCGTCAAAAAACTACAACTCCAAAGTACAATAGTTTAACGCTAAACCAACCAAGCTCTATTTAACATGCGCCGTTTTGTAAGAATGAGAACACTGAATTTATTGTTACCTTCTGTCATTTTTATCATAATATATTCCAATAACTCAATCTTTATAATTCTAGCAATTTCAAAAGGAAAAATATGAAAACGTTCATTTGTAAGTTTAGCGTTAAACAAGGAAACGGACAGTTCAAGATCGCTTCTTGGTCCTCGTTACCAATTAATTAAACCACTATGGTTGTCCAAGGGGTTGCTGGTTGACGTCGTCACGGACGTCACATTTTTATCGTCCATTTCGTAACAGCTAATTACGAAATCCATCGAAATAATTATACAACGAGTTTGCCATTAAACTCACAAATGGTCTACGTGACCATCGTCACGGATGAGACCAATTTGTCCACCTGTCTCGACAACCCCAGAGACAACTATACCCCTGGGTCCGTTACTCCGATTTCGATAGTCTTCTCTGTTTTCCCATGAATCATAAAAGCTTCCGTCGTCGAAGGAAGCGGATTGGAGGGCCGGATGCGAGCGGCGGGGGCTCGTCTGCCCCCTTCCTTCAGGGAATCCCGATGCCGAAGAGTCATCGCGATCAGCCGGCAGCCGAAGTAGCAGTCGTTTACAACCGCGTGTTCCGTATCTCTCGGCGCTTGCGAGCGACTCGAATCGTGTCCGGGAGTTTTCCTCGTCGTCAACAACGTTCCCCTTGTTCCCGGCTGGTGATTACATGGCGTTGAGGAGGATCGTCGTGTGCCGGGCCCTGTTCCCTCAGTTCACCTATATTGGTCCACCTCGTTCTTATCTTCGAGGAGCTAGAACGGCCTAGGATCAATGACCACCGCTCTCGCGAGTCGCGGTAAAAAGTCCTGCTGGAAGAGACTGTCGTAAATCATTGTCGCTTGACCGGAACGATAGCCGATCACTCGAAGGGGTCGTGATCTCCCCGAACAAACGAGCTCGCGGAGAAGAATATCTGCTGCGTGATAGGCGACCAGTATCCACGGAGGGCATTGACAGCGGTGATCCTTCCCGATGGACCAGGCTGGTATTCGTGTTCGGCGATCTAGAGAAATAAAGAAGTATCGTCGCTGTATCGTGGCGATAAGCGTCATGTTTCATTCGAGGAAGAGCAGAGGTTGATAAAGTCGGTGGACCGGGGCTTCCGAGTACCGACGCGAGCTATGTCAGTTCGTTCCAATTAGAAGAAATCGTAGAGACCGATTAGGGCAATCAACTGAAAATTAACAAGAAATATTTTACTACAGAGTACGCAAAATCCTCCGTTATTGACTGATGATTATTCGCTCGTTGCACACGCACAATCATGCGTTCACGCTCACCTTCTTACAACTACATTCATACAACCACAGCCATAGTCGACGACGGCGGTCGTCGCGATGCTTACGAGAGCCCGAGGTTACCGATCTTGCCTCTTTCTCTCTCGCTCTCTCCCTCCAGTTCTCGCGAGCTCTCCACTGCCTTGTGCTTCGCGAGCCGAGAAGCTTGCAGGCTTCCCGCGAACGCTGGAAACTGATCTGCTGCTGACTCGTGGGGATGTTATGTAAGCTGCGTGCAGTTGATCGACAGAGACGCATGCACTAAGCGATCGCGTCGTGGTAACGCGAACTCGTTCGCGTTCCGCGTCCAAGAAGGAGGAGCCACGACGCCGTTGCCGTGTGGATGCGAGAGCTGGTCGAAACCGAGGGGATCCGACTCGGGGAGGATCGGCTGGTCGTGTGTCAGTGACGAGGATCGCGTCCGAGCGTCTCAAAGATCACGGACACGGTTTGTCTCTACAAAGATCTCTCTCTGATCGCTTACAGGTGATCGGATTACGTGCGCCACCGGTGCTCCCCGCAATCTGTCTGAGGCCACCCTATGCCCGTGGTTCACCTCCGACGAGCTGATGAGCTATGAAGAGGACACCAGACTGAGGACCGAGGACCGCGAGGAGGACGACGATAAGGAGTACGAGGAACGTCTCGGCATGTCTTCGGCTTCCGCCAACAGGCTACAAATCTTCTGGGATCACTTCATCCACGCGGAACCGCAGAGTTACGAGGTATGCGTCCTGGACTTTCTCCGGCTCAGCTTCATTCAGGCTCCGTTTCGCGATGCGCGCACGCTGCCGTCGCCTTCAACCTTGGTGCGTTCTTTCATCTCGTCGACGCTTCTAATCGGGAAGGTTCTCCACTCGACCCGCGCGTCCTTTACCTGAAAACGTTTCGTAATCCTGATCAATCGTCGTTCCGCTACCCTCACGTTTAAATGACACTTTAGCCTCGCGCGGCGCGGCATCGGGATGACGTACAAGTCGCGCTCGATGCAGTCAGCGTGCCGATACTCTTGGCCGTAAGCAGCGAAACACGGCCCGTGATCTATCTGTCTCGTGTAACGTAAACAGTATCGATTTCTCAGCGCTGTTATGCGAGAGAAAACTAGCGAATACGTGACAGCCTCTAATTTCAGGGAAGAATCGTTATCTAGAATCGTAGACGCGGAATTTATACCGAGATTTACTTCACGTTATCTAGGATCTACAATGGTTCTTTCCTTTGTGAATCATGTGTTTGCGATTGGTCACCGACCGATACCCGAAATTCGCTTTTCTAGCGCTCGCAAAGGGTTGAGAATGTTGAGATCGATAACGATCCGCCAGATATAACGATGATCTACGCGAGGTCCCGCGCAGGGACTTGCTCGATATGTCCTAAATCGTCGTATTCTAATATCTCTCAGTTGTTCGGTTTGTTTCATCATCCGGTTTCATCATATTTTGCCCGGCGCCGCAGCCGAATTTCGGCGAAAGGCCGGATTATTTATATACCTCACGATTGCGGTAATTAGTAGTTCGTTAACGTTATCGACCTGATAAACCGATTCGCGACGAATGACGCACGAGCGGTCAGTGATATATATCTTCCTTGTTTCAGAAATCATCCTGGCTGGACGTGTTCCTCTCGGAGCTGCTTGCTCAAGTTCGAGAAGGCCGTGACGTTAAAGATGCCCTATCATTTTGGTAAGATCCGATCGGCCGATTAACGAATTCGCGCACGTCCGTCGCGATCGATCCCGTCGATCATCCCGACGAGTCGTCGCAACATCGGACTCGCGCATCCGACGAAATCGAAGAAAAGGAACCGAGCATTTTTACGGTTTGGCCACGAACATCGGTGACCGCGGAGGGAAAATCCGATCCCGACACGCGATCCTCGTTCGCGTTCAAACGTTGCCACCGGGCCACCGCGTGCGGTTACTTTCTCACACGTGCACTCGCTGTACAGATCACTTCTTCCGCAGAGAGAGAGAGAGAGAGAGAGAGAGAGAGATCGGTATGCGCTCCCGAAATATTCAGCGATCCCACAGGGAAAACATTCTTTGTAGATACCGCATGTCCCACTGAAAATAGATTGCATACAATTGATGAACGATACGCGTATCTTGGCGATAGCTAGGCGATAATGGCACCTTGTTTCCGATGGATAAGATTAGGATATATGTATAAGACGTAGCATGGAAATACCCATTCCAGTTCTGTCGGTGGCGGTGGAGTCTCTANGCTTCGCGAGCCGAGAAGCTTGCAGGCTTCCCGCGAACGCTGGAAACTGATCTGCTGCTGACTCGTGGGGATGTTATGTAAGCTGCGTGCAGTTGATCGACAGAGACGCATGCACTAAGCGATCGCGTCGTGGTAACGCGAACTCGTTCGCGTTCCGCGTCCAAGAAGGAGGAGCCACGACGCCGTTGCCGTGTGGATGCGAGAGCTGGTCGAAACCGAGGGGATCCGACTCGGGGAGGATCGGCTGGTCGTGTGTCAGTGACGAGGATCGCGTCCGAGCGTCTCAAAGATCACGGACACGGTTTGTCTCTACAAAGATCTCTCTCTGATCGCTTACAGGTGATCGGATTACGTGCGCCACCGGTGCTCCCCGCAATCTGTCTGAGGCCACCCTATGCCCGTGGTTCACCTCCGACGAGCTGATGAGCTATGAAGAGGACACCAGACTGAGGACCGAGGACCGCGAGGAGGACGACGATAAGGAGTACGAGGAACGTCTCGGCATGTCTTCGGCTTCCGCCAACAGGCTACAAATCTTCTGGGATCACTTCATCCACGCGGAACCGCAGAGTTACGAGGTATGCGTCCTGGACTTTCTCCGGCTCAGCTTCATTCAGGCTCCGTTTCGCGATGCGCGCACGCTGCCGTCGCCTTCAACCTTGGTGCGTTCTTTCATCTCGTCGACGCTTCTAATCGGGAAGGTTCTCCACTCGACCCGCGCGTCCTTTACCTGAAAACGTTTCGTAATCCTGATCAATCGTCGTTCCGCTACCCTCACGTTTAAATGACACTTTAGCCTCGCGCGGCGCGGCATCGGGATGACGTACAAGTCGCGCTCGATGCAGTCAGCGTGCCGATACTCTTGGCCGTAAGCAGCGAAACACGGCCCGTGATCTATCTGTCTCGTGTAACGTAAACAGTATCGATTTCTCAGCGCTGTTATGCGAGAGAAAACTAGCGAATACGTGACAGCCTCTAATTTCAGGGAAGAATCGTTATCTAGAATCGTAGACGCGGAATTTATACCGAGATTTACTTCACGTTATCTAGGATCTACAATGGTTCTTTCCTTTGTGAATCATGTGTTTGCGATTGGTCACCGACCGATACCCGAAATTCGCTTTTCTAGCGCTCGCAAAGGGTTGAGAATGTTGAGATCGATAACGATCCGCCAGATATAACGATGATCTACGCGAGGTCCCGCGCAGGGACTTGCTCGATATGTCCTAAATCGTCGTATTCTAATATCTCTCAGTTGTTCGGTTTGTTTCATCATCCGGTTTCATCATATTTTGCCCGGCGCCGCAGCCGAATTTCGGCGAAAGGCCGGATTATTTATATACCTCACGATTGCGGTAATTAGTAGTTCGTTAACGTTATCGACCTGATAAACCGATTCGCGACGAATGACGCACGAGCGGTCAGTGATATATATCTTCCTTGTTTCAGAAATCATCCTGGCTGGACGTGTTCCTCTCGGAGCTGCTTGCTCAAGTTCGAGAAGGCCGTGACGTTAAAGATGCCCTATCATTTTGGTAAGATCCGATCGGCCGATTAACGAATTCGCGCACGTCCGTCGCGATCGATCCCGTCGATCATCCCGACGAGTCGTCGCAACATCGGACTCGCGCATCCGACGAAATCGAAGAAAAGGAACCGAGCATTTTTACGGTTTGGCCACGAACATCGGTGACCGCGGAGGGAAAATCCGATCCCGACACGCGATCCTCGTTCGCGTTCAAACGTTGCCACCGGGCCACCGCGTGCGGTTACTTTCTCACACGTGCACTCGCTGTACAGATCACTTCTTCCGCAGAGAGAGAGAGAGAGAGAGAGAGAGAGAGATCGGTATGCGCTCCCGAAATATTCAGCGATCCCACAGGGAAAACATTCTTTGTAGATACCGCATGTCCCACTGAAAATAGATTGCATACAATTGATGAACGATACGCGTATCTTGGCGATAGCTAGGCGATAATGGCACCTTGTTTCCGATGGATAAGATTAGGATATATGTATAAGACGTAGCATGGAAATACCCATTCCAGTTCTGTCGGTGGCGGTGGAGTCTCTACCCTGATTGCCTGCGAGCTGCTCTCGGACGTGCACGAGCTCTGCGCAAAGAGGGTTGACGGGAACGAGCTGGTCGGCCTGAAGAAGTACCTGTCGCAAGACCGTGGCTGGCGTTGCTTGGCGATCCTGCACCTGCTAGGAGTGAGAGGTCTCTCCTGTGGACGAGAACTGGTGGCACTGCTGGTGGCTTTGTATCCAGTCGCTCTTCAGGAAGAGATCAGCAAGGACGCAAAGAAGGATGAGAGCAAGGATCCTGCGAAACCTTTAGGCGTTTGCGAGCCCAATCCATATTTGAAGTTTCACAGCAACGACGACACCGTCGACACCGTAGTCATAGTCCCGCACGCGAAGCGCAGGCCGAGCAAATCCAGCCGGAACGGTGTCTGCCACGAGGGCAATGCCGCGTCAAGGAGAAGAGCTAGTCGAAGACAGAGCGGTGCGGCCAAGGTGCCGGTCCACCATAAGCAGAGATCACTATTCGGGACGTTCGAAACGCGGCGCAACACGCCGGAAACCGCGAGCAGCGAGTCCGAGCTGCTGACGGACGGCGTGGACCAGTCGCGCTCGCTCACCCTCAAGATACGCCTGAACCCCATGGACTTCGAGTATTTCACCTCAGTCGTCAGGGATGACGAGGACCAGAAGTGGCAGGCCGCTCTTTACGAGTTGCCGACCCGACCGGCTAAGAAGACGCCCCGGGATTACATCGATGAGAGGATCAAGGCCGTCTTGAACGCTAAAATCAGCAACTTCGAGACCAGCCTGCTGATCATCCAGCTGCTGCAAGGCCTGAGGGACTACGACACCCCGGCGGAGCAGACTCCGGCTGTACAGGTGCTGAAGTTCGCTTTGGATACCTTGTGGTCCCTTCAGTTTGGTATAGACGGGACTGGCTTATCCCGGACCGACTGTGCCACGCTGAAAGCAGCGGCTGCGAGGCTGATGCTAACGGCGCTGGAACGCGTTTTGAGGGCCAATGAGCCAACCACCACTGTCATACACAATGGACTATTACCGATGACTCTGAGGCTGCTGGAGGATGCTTGCAGTAAGCCGGTGAACGTCTTCTCGCCGGAAGAGGGCTCGTTGCTGCAGGAGTTCATCTTTGCCACTATCTACGGGATCGTGACCTTCCTCTATTGTTTGCTGGACCAGCATGGCGCCGCTGTGGAGAAGCTCTCGGACTTTCTCGAGTTGTTTCAATTGTTCACGGAGAGCCAGGACGGCAAGCTCGTCGAGAGGACCATCCTGGCGATCGTCGTTCTGCCGAGCGTCGACGCAGTCAAGTCGATAACACGTGCTAGAAAGGTGATAGACATGATAGGCGCGCTGACCAGTGGTTTGAAGTCCGTGCGACGTGACATTTCGCACGCAGAGAACTGCGGCCGGTCGAAACATAAATCTTGTGTCATCAATGTCACCAGTCATCATCACACCAACGTATTCGGCAGCGCGTACGCGCAGCCGATCGTCGGTGCTGTGAATAAACAGGCCTGCTGCATCTCTTCTCTCTTCATGACTCTGACCAACCTCCTCAGAGAGTCCCATCCTTTCGCGAGCGAGCTAGAGGTGCGGATAATCGAGGTATGCGCCGCAGCAGGCACCTGTTGCTGTTTTCCGCCCAGGACGCTCATGTCAAACGTCACATCCCTGCTGAAGAGACGCGATCCAGCGACCTACGCTCCAGCTGTCGCACTCCTCGAGCGCACCTTCTTTAAAGAATTAGGTGCCTACTCCGAGTCCGACATCTGTCCCACTTGCGACAGGCCAGCCACCAGATCCTGGGACTTCCTGGAGCTCTACGGAGATCTACTGACTCCCGATGAGCCAAAGCTTTGTTACGTCGTGATGGCTCATCTTCTTAAGATAGGGCCCAGCTCAAGATTCCAAATCAGGCGCGAGCTGCTGAAGTCCGTATTCTATCCGACTTTCCTTAAAGCCAAGTCCTGTTACGTAGCCGACAGGAGCAACGCGGCTGCCAAGTTCCTTGTCCAGTCCTGCCTCTCCGCCGTGTCTTGCCTGATCGTCAATACCCAAATTTGCGAGTGGTTCACAGAAGCGAACGGATTGGACGAAGTGTTGACGTTACTCTCAGACACGACCTTCACCAGGAGTGTGTACGCGCTGCTGGAAGTCGTGGTCATAATCGAGATCTGGAAATCGAGCTCCGCGGTCTCAAATCCTGTGACATTCGAGAGGTCCGCGCTAAATTCTCTCCTCAGATCTCTTAAGCATGAAACTGAGGAACTGCTGCAATCTCTAGAAGATCTGGATAGAGTCGAACACAGTCAAAACGGTCAGGAAACAGTCGTTGAACAGGGCGAAGCAGAGGCTTCCGTTAGCACGTTTCCAGAAGTACAGGATCGTCCCGAGGTCGTTGCAACTTCCCCAGAACCGGACAACGATGCGGACTCGTATGGGAAATTGAATCTGTATCTGTCGAGCGCCGTTTGGAGAGCCGTAGCCGGTGTTGCCCTCAGCAGCCCGAAGTTCCGGCAGGAGCTGTCCGTGCATCCGTTATCGGAGAAGTCCCTACGGTTGTTTAGAATGTTGGCTGTGCGAATTTGTACGGACAGTATTATGGGTACGTTCCTGGATCGGACTAAGGCCAATGAAAGATGCTTTGATCTGGATTATTAACACGTTCGTCCCCGTTTCAGATACGAACAAATCCGCGCACAGACTCTTCGAGGCTTTACTCACGTGCTGCCTAACGTCCCCGTTGTGTAAGTAGCGTTTTATATAACGAGCGTGAATCACAAATACGTTTCTACCGTGCGTAGCTTGGCCCGTCCGACGCAGCTGTGGATTAAAATCCCAATAAACAATTCATAGAACGCTGAACACCTGATAACTTCGTCCTCCCCTCCTGGCAGAATCGCGGTGCAGCAATTTATTTGTCAGCGTTTTACGGTAACGCAGAATGTGTTTTGCGGTGCAGGTGGTTGCGACGTGGTCATGGAGTTGAGAAGAGCACTGATCGAGACGGGTGTTCAGTTGCGCCGCGGACTGGCTGTGATCGTTGAGGCCTTGCTCAAAATTTCGTTGTTAAAGCCTGCTCAAGAAGAAACTATACCACAGTACACCCGGCACAGAGTGCGTTACCTTCTACGTACTCATTACGATAATTATCGGACTCTAAACACAGCTTGTTGCACTCGAACAATCTTGCAATCTGCTACAGCTGCCGACCATGACGATGGATGTGATGCCGGATTGCGCCGCAGACGACAGCAGTACGGGAGAATATATAACCGCGGACGACGGGTATGAAGCTGACATCGAAGTACCCGGAGGGAGCCCTCGTGCCAACACAATCAAAAGAGGCAACTCCCTGGGACCAATGATTGAGCCCAGAGGGAACGCAAACGCGCACCCTGCTCTGTGCTCTCTAGCGGTCGACCTGTTGATCCATTTCAGTGAACAGTGAGTCTTTGAACGCCTTTAATCGAGATCTGGAATCGCGGGGTGTAGCAAAGATTTAATATCATCGGATAATTCCGCAGAGGCTTGGACGGCGATAGGGGGGCCATCATAACAGCAGGGTTGAGAAAAGTCGCAGCCACTTGCAGAGAAAGCGCCTCTAGTTGTGCTACCCTGGCAGGTTCTGGCGTGATCACGAAATTGTTGGCTGGTTTCCGGTACATATTCGCTAGCAGAGATGCCAGATACCAAGGTACGATTGACGTAGGAGTGACGTTTGTTCTCATTGTTAATCGTGGATGTTGCTCAACACGTTTCAGACTTGCGACACGCCGTGCTGGAGGTGTTCACTTTGTTGGCGTCACAGTCGATTTCGCCATCGGAACTGGTCGTCTATCTTTCCCTGTTCAAAGTCGACACGCCTCCTCTTTTATCGCTGCTCGAGTCGCTTTTTCACCTGGTGGTGGCCGCCCGACCGCAGCCGAACTTTATTCTATCCTTCCCCGTGCTGGCTGAAACAAAGGTGACGTTGAAAACCCAACCAGAGGAGCATAAGAACCTGGAGAAGGCAGAAAACCTCGTGAGGAACTTCCAGAAAAGGCATCTCGACTCTGGCGTCTGCAGTCCATGGTCCGTCCACGCATCCTGCTTGCCGATTGGTCCTGAACTTGCTTGGCCCGTCTGGTTGCACGGCTGCTCGGTGTCCATGTGGTTGAGGGTCGAAAGAGGAACGATGGCGTCTGGAAAAGGGACGGTAATCAGCACATCGCCTTTACTGGACTCGGATAACGAAAGCTTGTCCGACTGGGGCGTCCTGTCCGACAACTGGAGCCGCGAAGGTTGGTCGAGTAACGATCGTTTATTCATTTCTACTAATCCTTACGTCCCTGTTGCCTGATTTTCCGTATACACCGTAGACACTAGATTGCAATCTACTGGGGGTAGTCTGACATTTTATGGCCCGCCATAGATGGCAACCCGGCGTACGTATACGGGAAATCAAGGAGGTCCATCTTCGCATCTAATGACCTAACGTAGAATAAACCTCGAATAGCATCTATACATACATGTGCAATAAGTGGGATGTTTTTCTATTTAACGCATACTTCTCGAATTATCGTGGAAAGACCAATCGATGTCTGATATTTTCTCGGGTACGTCAGTCGTAGCAGGTTCGACATCACCACCCACGCCGACGTCGATCATACATTTGATGTCGATCGGGTTCGAATCTCTGGTTCTCGAGACCTGGTTGGATCTTCGATCAGGTAACCGTGCGTTTCAGGTCACCTTAGATCGTTGTACAAACATCTATTCATTGATCATTGTTCCATCTTCCAGATAACCTGATCCTACGGTTAACACGACCGGACGATAAGACAAATCGAACGGTCTCCGAGACATCCTTACCGGGTTTGTTTCCTTCCGGTCGATGGCACCATTTAGCATTGAATGTTAAGGATACTGTTTTGAACAAACGTTGCGCGGCAATGGACGTGACTCTTTGGGTAGACGGTTGGAAAGGGATGAATGCCCTGCTGCCATTTGACGGTCTGTTGGTGAGAAAACCGGGAACTACGTGCGTCCTGTTGGGTCAGATCGGCTCCAGCAATATCGGCGCCTGGTACCTCAGCAATTTGATGGTGTTCAGGTAACTGTCATCGCGTAATTATATTATTGAGTATCTTAAATACTTAACAAACGTAAACGCGTGCAGATGTCCAGTGTTCACGAAAGAAAGAGCTTTGTACTTAGCGAACCTTGGGCCTAACTATACTAACCTCGCCGAATGTATATTAAACACCGAGAAGCCAGATTTCGCGCCATTGATCGCGTCCGGAGCGTTGGATGGAGTCCGAGAGATTCGATTCGGTAAGCATCTTGATCTCCACGATTGATTATCGTAGTTTATTAATTAATTGTCTTATTTATAATTCGCACAGAAGGCGGCAAGTTCGACGCGAACCGCAGGAAGTCTTATGGTGGCACCTACTTGAGACACGCAGTGGAGACCAAGGTGTCCGACACGAAGATCGACTGGGACGCGGTCATGGACGCCACGAACTCTCACCTGGGTGAACTGCAGAACAACCTGTTGCTTAGCTACGAGGCTCAGAATCCGAACATCGTGCATCTGTATCCTCAAGCTATTGCCAATCCTGCGGGTATGTATCCCGACTTGTGCGTGTACGGACATTATAGAGGCAGCTGTTAGTCTTAAGCGTATAAATATCGTGTACTCGTTTCTAGCCGTGGTAAGAAATCTATTTCCGGGTCAACCAGGTTTCAGGGTTGTCTCCGCGCCGGAGCACAGGGTGTCGCAACAGCCGCCATTGTCTGTGTCTCCAATCCTCTCCGTACGGTTGGAATGCCAACAGTACAGGGGACTGATACCCGCGGCCATCTTGGTAGGCGGTGTGCCTATATTCCTGTACCTGTTCGCCAGAGTAAGCACAAAAATCTAAACGATTTGTTAATTAAGAAGTTTCATGTTAGGTCAATTCTGATACATAAACATGCTTGTTCGAAGGTCGTCGAGCTGAACTCCACCGAGGAAGAACAAGCGTTGGCTCTCTCGATAGTTCTACACTTGATACGGAACGATTCCGAACTATTAAATCAGTACCGTGCAGAAGGCGGGACATCATTGATTCTACGGGTTCTGGAATCACCACGATGCCATGCGGGTAGTCAGATGCTAAAAGCAATGTTAGATGCAGCTTGCGATAGCTCGATTTTGATCAAAGATATTAGCAGTGGTAATCACGTGCTCTCGCAGAGCTGTGAGGCTGTCATCACCGATCCTGAACTAATTAAAGGTGTGCTTACTGCCTGGAGAACATGGGCAAAATATGACGCCTTGAACTTGCTGCTGCAGGCATTGCTCCTGTTGTTGAGGGACCAGCACTCGCAGCGTGAGTTCAACGCGTCGCAGTTGAACAGGGTCGAGATCGTTGACACGATCCTAACGCTGTGCAAGGTAACCTCGAGTTTCAACATTCATTTCTTTGATGAGAGGAACCTGTTCCAAGTATAGATGTTTACGTTTTAACTTTCCAGGAACATTTTTTGTATGAGGAATTGGGCGCTGTAATCGATTCCACGACGGGAACAGCAGTCGTAGAGCTGATCAGAGCTCTGATGGGAGCACCACCGGAGTTTGCTCACCTGGTGGCCATCACTGATTTCTTGGTTCTTGTTCATCAGGCCTCGGAAACATACATTACCCATTCGAGACACAACATATACTTTTTGTTGCCATCGCTCGGCCAGAAGGAGATAGTCAAAGTGACGAATGTAGCGACCACCAGTTCCTCAGAGGAGTCAGTTGGAACCTTGGAGAACAGTAAATTGAACAAAGGCTTAACAAACGCGCAGATCCAAAAAAACAAGATCCCGAAGAGGAAGGAACGTCGTAACGGTCCGTCTCAAGATACTAGCGCTGGGGAAGACTCCGGTATCGCGGCTAGCGATGGCTCCAATCCCCTCAGCAACGTAAATAAAAACAGTTTGTACTTCCGTCTTCTTTAAAGCTATTAACAAACGTTTATCGGGAGTTTTCATACAGGAAAAACAGACGACGTGGACGGATGAGAAGAAAGTTTGTCAAGGTTTGGTTTGCGAAGGTCTCCTGCTATTACTTCGGGACGCGGTTCGAGTTCTACCTGACAGTCAAGTTGGCTCAGTGTTGAAACACGTTTTGAGAGCCGAGCTGCTGCTGGTGTTGGCCAACAACCCCGATGCTAGAGTTCGCACGGCGCTGATCAAGGTACTCTAAGAACCTCAATGGATCTCCAATGACTGTACGATATCGAAAAGTATGTATGCGATGTAACAACGATCTTGCTGCAGGTGGTGCAGATCTACTTGCAACGTGCCAGCGACGAAGAAGTGAACAAGTTCATCAAGCTGAAGTATTTCATGCACTTGGCTAATCAGATAGCATTGTATCCTGGCAGCGAGCCGCTGGTCGTGGCTTTAGAGAACCTAGTTTTAATAGGACCAACAGTGGCAGCGATGCCACCACTGATGGCCATCATCGCCAAAGCGTCAGCCAATGAGCCGAATGTGGCCAGGCCAGCGGTGTCGTTCATCACCGACGTAATTGCAAAAGTAAGTTGGCAAAGGTCTCAGTTTGTCAGACGCTAAAGTAAAAGACTCTACTTTTGTTTTAGAAGCCAAATTCTCTAAGGATGCTACTCGAACAAGGACTGATCGAGTCGCTGGTGCAAGCGTTGGTTGGTAGTGCCCACAAGGGCGGTTCGACGTCCCTCTACCGCGATATCGTTGTACTGCTAGTAGCCGTCGCGTCGAAATTGTTGGAGTCTCCGGGTAGTCATCAGATGCAAGCAATCCTGGGTCTTCATCTGATCTTAAATCACATGGAATTGAAAGAGAAAACGCATTGTACGAAGACCAAGAGCTGCGTGTCTGTGGTGAGAGACGCGCAAGTCGCCCTCTTCGACGGCGAGCTAGACATACTGTTGGCCAAAGTCTCGAATCAGTCAGGCTTCCGACTGCGAAGCACGGCATCGTATCTGGCTTCGGCATCGCACATCGCTTTGGTGTTCACGACATCCAGCGAACAAAGCGACCATGGCTCCAGATCGTCCAGCTTCACGAGTTTGCACCCACAATCGACAATGGCAACGATACGAGAGCCGGGTAAGGGAGAGCTATTGGACAGATTTCGCATCGTTTTGACTCGCGCAGTTGAATTCATAACGGCAGCAGACGAGTCACCGTCCGCTAACGAGCTTCAATTAACAAAGAGACTGTTCTCGATCCTCTTGCACGGCCTGTGCAATCCTCTCGAGAAGAGGAACCACTGGAGTAGGGGTTGGTCGGCTCGACACGCGCTCAGAAACACGGCGAAGATAATGGTGTGGCTGCTTGCACCTCATCAGAGCAACAACACAAGGATATTCGCTGTAAGATCGCTGATGGAGGAGCCAAAGACTCGTGACATGCTATCCTCACTGCTAGAGGTCCATCCGCAAGTGGAGCAGAAGTTCACCGTGTTTTTCTGGGACCTGCTGCAAAGACGGGACGAGATGCCCAGCGCAGACGCGAGAATTTGCGCCGAATTCAAGGAGGCCTTGAGCATATGGGACCTGGCAAAGGGCATAGAGCAGGCCAGCCCGGGGATATGGAACGAGGAGCTAGCACTGCTTAGACGCGAGTTGATGAGAGACCGGGATATTTGGATCGATAGCAATCTGCCGGCGATACAGAGAATCGGCCACAGCTTCGACTTGGTCGGGAAGCTGTTGACAGAGAGTGCGATGACCATCACGCGGACGGTCGTCGATGAACAAAACCAAGAACGGAAAGTATTAATGGAAAGACTGAAGCATTCGAGGGCGATGGAGGCACAAGCGGTCGCCAAGTGGAGAGACCTAGCAAGACGTTTAACACACGAGAGAGCCGCCTGGCATTTCGAAAAAAGTTACCCGAGAAGCTGGGAGCTCGACCCTACTGAAGGACCAGCCAGAGTACGAATTCGGCTGCAACGCTGCCATCTGAACATCGACAAGAGGTTCTTCATGGCCGATCACCAGGATAAACTACAAGCAGCTGAGATCGAAGCACCGTTGTCTTATTTGTTCATGACTGATCGTCAAGACGCGAATGCCTCGGCGTTAATCGAGCGACTACACACCAGTGAGAGGATACGCAAAATGTCTCAGGCGAAAGTGGTTACACCTAGAGCTGAGATGGCCGGTGAGGTCCTGATCGGCGAGACTTGTCTCTACTTCGTACCTGACAACCCTGATGTACCCTTGCACACCGACATAGCTCTAGGAGGTCTCGATTTGGCTATGGTAGGCGGAACAGCCTGGCGTCTCGAAGACATCCGAGAACTGCACCGGAGGAGGTACCAGTTGCAAGAGAGAGCCATTGAGATATTCTTGATCACCGGCAGAACTTATCTACTGGCCTTCAACTCGTCGAAGCAACGGGACGAGTTTGCTAACGAACTGAACGCCTGCAATCTGCCTAGGCGGGTACCCGGCGATGACCTCAGCGAAGCCATCACACTCTGGCGAAGCGGAGCGTTGACCAATTGGGAGTATATCACTTGTCTGAACAAGCTGGCTGGTCGCTCTTACAACGACCTGATGCAATACCCAGTGTTCCCTTTCGTCCTGGCCGATTACACCAACGAGAAGATTGATCTGAACAAGCCGAAGATTTACCGGAACTTCAGCCGGCCTATGGCTGTACAGGATAAGAAGAACGAGCAGCATTACATCAACAACTACAACTATCTGAAACAGGCATTGTCAGAGGGGCTAAATCTGATCGCGTTAAATCAAGAACCGTTTCATTACGGGTCACATTACAGCAATTCTGGCACGGTGCTGCACTTTCTGGTAAGATTGCCGCCATTCACCAGCATGTTCCTCTGCTATCAAGATGATAACTTCGACATCCCCGATCGGACGTTTCATGCACTGGCCACCACCTGGAGATTGACCAGTTGCGACTCCACCACTGACGTCAAGGAATTGATACCCGAGTTCTTCTATCTACCGGAGTTTCTTTTGAACTACGAGGGATTCAATTTTGGGGTCCGACAAAATGGCAGTAGGGTAGGCGACGTTGAGCTGCCGAAGTGGTGCGGTGGAGACGCCAGGCTCTTCGTCCTTGCTCACAGGGCAGCATTAGAGGCAGATCTCGTCAGAGAGGTGTTACCCTATTGGATAGATCTTGTCTTCGGTTTCAGGCAGACCGGCAAACCAGCAGTCGAGGCTATAAATGTATTCCATCCCGCGGTGAGTCTTTTGATAAATCATGGTATAAAGGTGCCAAGCTCATAGATCAACGCTTTCAGACTTATTACGGATTCAATGTCGAGCAAATAGCAGATCCTTTAGAGCGTCGGGCGTGGGAGACCATGGTGCGCACTTATGGCCAAACGCCGGCGCAATTGTTCACGACTGCTCACCTGCTGCCGCTCCAAAACATTGGGAACACCATTATGCATACGTCGTTGCCACAAGTTATCGAGGGTGTGGATGGTAAGCTTCAAATATTCAATCCTTTAATGGAGTGCATATTCTTGTAAAATTATTGCAGGTATCAAATGGGGAAACTACGTGGGCGCGCCCGGAAACGAACCGGTTCTCTGTTGGAAGCATAAACATAGGGCACCGCTAGCGAGTTTGGTTCCTTTAATGACAGGGGACGTCTTCGGATTGCCCAGTTACACCACCCTTCTGCTCGGTTACACGAAAGAGAAAAGTATATCTTATTTTCTTATTCATTCCTTGAAACCTACAGCTGTAAACAATCACGATCTAATTCTCTAAAGGAGATGTTTGTAATACTTTCAAAAATCTTTGTCCAGGCGCAAGCATGTTGAGCGGGACATCCGTCCTAGGAGCTGCCCTGGTGTCCTGGAGCGGCACGGATGGTATCGCAAGACTGAAATGTAAAAAGGAACAACCACCGAGACCTTTGATCAAGTCATCAGGCCTCGACCCGGTAAACGATTTGAAATTCAAAAGATGATATCTATTCGGTTCCTAACGGATCTAGTAACATCAAAGTATTTTATCTAGATCACTATACTAGGATCAGCGCCAGATTGTGGGCAATTATGGGCAGGTCACCTGTCCGGCAGGGTAACGGTTCACACGTACACCGTCGTGCCAGGAAAAATTGACTTCAGTTCCACGCCGCCATGCGTCCTTTTGGCTCACAGGAGCAGAATCACGACAATATCGCTTTCACGAGCGTTCAGTATATCGGTCACTGGTGACGCGAGTGGGGTCATAGTTATCTGGGACTTGAACAGGTACCCCCACATATTGCATATATGTATACATACCTCTATGAAAGATCCTATTGTTTCATGTGAACATTTCTTTTTCAGTTTAACGTACGTAAGGTCAATATCTTCCGAGGAGAATTATCCTATTCGTTTGTTGTCGATCAGCGAGACCCTCGGTGATATTGCAGTCACTTACGAGACCAGCAAGACGGCGGAGAACGCGTCTTCGAGCCAGTCAGAATTGAAAGTATTCACCATAAATGCTAGACCGGTCGGTTCCGTTTTGTCTAGGAGAAAGATCACATCTCTTTGCTATAGTAACGCTCCTGAAGGAGTGTCCGTGAACGTTATCGCGACAGGATTAGACAACGGTGTGATAAGATTGTGGAGCAGTTGGGACTTGAGATTAGTTAGGGAAATACTGAATGGTATCAAGGGCTGTGGAGCAGTGATCGCAATCGCATGGGCGTTGGATCAGCATCATTTGTACGCGGTCACGGAGGACTCGACCGTTTTGATATGGGAGGGGTCCAAACGTCTGAGCAACGGTACCCCGAAATTCGTTAACTTAACGTCCCTCTAATGTAAATAAAAGAAACCAAAATGCCTTTCGAAATCATCGACGAAACGAACGTATTATTTTAAATAGAAAAGAACACGTTCAAGTTCGTATTTTTATAATCGATTTGCCGTCTCGTTTCTAGCCACAGAACAAAAGAATTGCACGTTCCAAGTATTATTTTATCGAAATGTTCACTAAGATGATGCTTTTTTTTTGTTATATTTCTAGTAACGCATTCATATCATATTTTTATATTTTATTGTATCAGAGCATATAATTCACTTACTTAGGAGGTATATGTTTTGTTATTGATGTACTTGTATACAGAACAATGGTAAACCAAACATATACGTTTACATCAAATTGTTACACATCCATAGATTTTTTATGTTCATAACATTGCAACGTTTATATATATAAAGATATTAAGAACATTTATAAAATATGAAATCAGAATGAGTATGGACCTACTTCAAATTACGTTTAAACAGTCCTCGATGATCTCAAACATTGGGTAATATTTTCCTGTTCGTCTAGCAATTTGTTCCGCGGTATCTTGACCAGAATTTACCAATTTGGGATTTGTATCTGGGTGTAGAAGTAAAAGTTGCAATGCCTGAGAATTGTGAGAGCTTGCACATACTAAATGCAAAGGAGTTTGATCCCCTGCACTTTTAGCATTTACATCTGCTCCGTTTGCAATTAGGGCTGCAGCGCATTCCACATTGTTCCAATGACAAGCCGAATGCAATGGTTCCCAATTGTCCATAGTTTTAGAACTTGTACTCGCACCGGCTTGTAGTAGGTACTGTAAATAAAACATAAAAAAAATTTAATACCGACGTTAAGAAACGGAAAAAACAAAATACATACCTCCACAATATCTACGTGACCAGCATAGGAAGCTCTATGTAGAGGAGTATAACCATCCTTATCCCTGCACCCCAACAAGTGTTTGTTTTTGGCTATTAATTTTTTAAGTTTCTCGAGGTTGCCATTCTCGGCAGCTTCGAGAATATCTTTCTCATCGGGATCTAAAAGCAAAGAGCAGGCGTTCTTTGTGAAAACGAATACGACGGTTGACCATATTTTGATAAACCTAACCTTTCGCATTCCGCTCAGCTTCTATTCCGTCATCGTCGTCTTCCCAAGCGCTAACTTGCATGCGCTCGCTTCGAGGCGTGTTTAACATATTATCGCGAATCTCCTCTATAGATACCAGATTGTCACTTTCCTCATCGGACGATGACATTTTAATTCTTCTAAGAAATTACACAGATATTCTAGAACGTTTTACCGCGATCGTTTGTGCGTATTCGCTGTCAGAAACTGTCAGATGCGAGAGATATTTCTTATTCTCGATTATTTTGCAAAGTGTCATAACAAAGTCATCGACACATACATATTTCATTTAAAAAAATGGACTGCATCAAGTTGTTGGAGAGTTTGGATATCCAGGGTCATGCTGGCATTTGTGTTGGAACTGAGCATTCGCAATTGCTGCAAAATTCGTTGACGATACTTCAAAAAGAGAATCATTTCCGAAAATGTTACTATTGGGGCCAAATCTACGGCATTCGGAACGATTATCATATCGCTTATGGGTTTAAAAACGACTGCATGGACGGACAAATGTATTATTATAGGTGAGAAAATGTCGCAGCAATTATTAATCCGCAGTCTTTTTTAAACGAACATTTTTTTCATTAGCATCGACGGTTTCGATTGGTTTCTTCTACCTAACGCGGACAAATGCGCCCAATTTCTAACTCCCCTTGCAATTAATAAATTCGAGGGTGATCCGTCTATAGTTACGAACGTTTACAACGTAAATCCCCCGTTCCCGCCAAACGAGGATCCGAAGAAGTATTACGAAGTAAGGTGGCGCCACCGTCCGTGTTGACATGTTTTCAAACTTGAAAAAAGGAGGCACTGTTCAGAAAGTCAACGGAGTTTGGTGTGTACGCTAGGGCTCTATTCCGAAAGAATTAAAAGAAGAAGACAGGCTCGCAGCTACGGTGTATTTCATTCGAGAAGACGCCGCGGTGATTCCACGTGGGGCATGGTTCAAATGTGCGAACGGCGACGTAATTGAAAACCCAAGTTTCGAAGGACTCGACCCTGTAGACTGCGCCTACTTGAAGTCCTATCTGCACGCGCGTCCTCCGCAACAAAAATGGAACACCAATTTGTTGACCAGGCCTGATTACAACTACGCAGTTGATTTTTTGGACACCATCGATCTGGACGTTCCGCAAGGTATCGTGTAACGGCAATATAATACGAGGCATCGGTTTAAGCGCTTGCTTGTTCGATATTACATGTTTTCGCAGAATGCTGGAGCCTACAAATACTGCACGAAAAGAACATGGTATTATTGCATAGCCTGTATTGGCCCGGCATGGTTTTCTATCATAAAATGAGCAGCCCGCATTACGGGTTCCTCTATTTCGGTCACGGGAAAAAGAATATGGACGTGGTGTTTATGGTTCGAGGATAATCCCCGCGACAAAAAACCGAAGGGTTCCCGGATCCTGGATATCATTTATTATTCTCCGAGTCGGCTGTATTACGTTCTATTAAATAGCAGGAGGGTGTCGTAAATCATGCTTTCCTCTCGCAGGTCAAAGGCCTGACATTTCGGCGATTTCTACGTCGCAACGCGCTTCGTTGTTATTAGTAGTGCCGTAGACCGTGACTCGTGCAGACGTGCGTTGCGCATTTGATATAGTTAAAAATTAATCATTTAACTGTTAATTTTACCGTTGTTTCTAATCTAACATAGGCATTTTCGATTAAAAACTTTGTTTCGTGGACTGCATCAGGCCGTTTAAGGTTAATTCTATTATTTCTCATTTTTTTCCTTTGGTTAATTATACGATCGTTAACTATGCTATTAGCTGAAATAATAATCGCATTTTCATCGCTCTTATAGCAAATTGCGACGAACATCTTTTCTAATCGGTGTTTCATGTGTGCAGAACGTAAAGCCCTTGGAAGAATTCGCGGCCATTGCAAATCCGCCTTGTCGGCAGCGAGTCTGTTGCCGGATAATCGCGCGAGATGGCAGCAGGATTGCGCCGGTGGACGACGAATTTGAACGCACAAGCGCAGTGACCGGCGTACTCGAGTGAAGTGTTGTTGCAAGTGCTTGGGATCCGTATTCCGACGCAATTCCCCAGGATATATCGGCGTTAACGGTGAGTCAAACACACGCCATCTTTTCCAGCGTTCTTTCTTTGCCGGTCTGTCATTTCTACGACCATCGAATCGTTGTACTTCGTCCGTTAATTCGATAGTTTCGTAACGGCGTATCGCCGGGTGACGCCGGCTCCGCGAGAACGTATTTTCTAGCACGTGGATCCTAGCGGTGCCTGGACGAACGTTTCGGGCCCCCTTTTCGATCGTTCTCTGCGTTTTTGTTCGGAACCGAACGGGAATATTCGGTATTCGAATCGTCGGGACCCGCGATTCCGTTCTTTTTCCGTTTGCTCGTTGACAGGCAGGCGGCGTCAAGATTTCGGTCGCTTCTACACGAATTGCGCGTCACCTGACGTTGCCGAATTCTTCGGCGTTCGTTTCTCTGTCGGCGAGCCGACGGCGAGGCATGCAATCGATACAAGGCCGATGCCCGATCGATGCAAACGACTCTCCAAGATGGATGTATGCGAAAACGCGGATTTTCAGCGAGCCGAAAATCGTTTCGTTCTCGGGCAAAACGATCGCGACGGGTTAGGTTACAATTCAAATTCGAGTTAGGAATTAGCAATTCGATGAATTCGTCGTTAAAAATCGCACGCAGAAAATCATCGACGGGCTCTCGCAGTTTTATTTCCATGTCGTTGTATGTATCTCGACGATGTGATTCAAGGTTAGCCGGGTTAAAGGGAGGGGTCACTAGTTCGCCGTTATTGGGCAACATTTTCCCCTAGCCAGCGAACGCGAGAACTGCGTTTCTTTCTTTTTTTTTTCCCTCCCGATTCGAAAAATCTGAATATTGCCGGAGAATCTTGTTCGAACTGGGTAATCCTGTGAACCGGTAATCCGTGCTCCATGCTGAAAATCTTTACGAGCGTGTAGCATACGTAGATTTCGGTCGCGATTCGAAGCAATTTCGGTGCTGGCGAGTGTACGTATAGCGCATGCGCGATGCACGGAAAACCGTAAAACCGAAATTTGCATGAATCCGCAATCCGCTAATGAACGAAACAGGGACCCGTCTATCCCTGCCTCGTTCGCGGTTTCCATCTGGATCCAGTGTTCGTGCCTCTATTTCCGCTACTCCATCGAATTAATCGGCGCCGGACACTCCGGTGCATCGTGTTCGAATCTGCCGATTAGGCTATTTCGTGTGCATCGGCCATTTAACTCACAATAGGCTTCCCGTCTTTTCTTGTTTTTTTTTTTTTTTAACGTTGAACCCGCCGCGCTGCCCAAGCCGACGTTCGTTCTACGGTTATTAAATTTGGAAGGAAGTCTCTCTCTTGCAAGCATAGGTTATAATACAAATTTGCGAACAGTCTAAGTCGGTTGTACATAAGTTAAACGTGAATCGTGAGACAGCGGTTCTCATTCTCGGACGGCGAAAATGGGTAAAAATCTTTTTCGTTCGAGAAAAATAGTTGGGCGCCGAGTTTCTCGAGATTTCACCGTGAAAAAGCGGAACAACAGGGTTACGGCGGCCGTAACTTTCTATCCGGCGCGATCGTGCAGTCGAATTTTCGTTTCTATTCGGAAAGGGAAAGAGAAGAAAAGCGTTTGCCGTAGCGAAAAGCTGCCGCGAAGGCAGCTTTAACGATCCGCGTGGATCACGGCCGGCCAGATGGAAAATCTCTGGCGTTAATCCTTCGGTTCCAGCGACCACGTATCCCTAACTCGCGGGTGTTGAGCGTTCTACAATTTTCGAGGCGACCCTGCGGTTTTGAAAGCGTTCGGTTTCAGCGTGGCCCGTTCCTTTCCTTTCCTCTCCTCTCCTCTCGGACACGCCGAGATTTATTCTCGGTGCGACGGCGAAATCAATGACGGAGCCAGCCGATAACTTTCCCCTCTTCCTCTCCGTTCCTCTCGCGCGGATAGAAAACCCTCCTGGCTCTCTTTTATCTGATTCATATGCACAGCCGTACATGTGCAATCGTGTAGTCAATTCCGAGCACGGACCCTGAGTTCCGGTTCCTATTCAAGCGGTGTATCCTCTCTCTCTCTCTCTCTCTCTCTCTCTCTCTCTCTCTCGCTTTCTTTCTCTTTCTCCGTTTGACTACCATCTTTCTCCTATTTGTCTTCATCGGCGATCATTCGAACACCATCATCCCAGAACATACATACATACTTACGGTTCCGTGGCTCCTGATAGCTTCTTAGGAGGCCATTCGAATCGGCGATTCCTCGAAAGGACCGTTTCCGCCGAACATTAACCTGTTTCCATCCGAAGACCCGGCGTCGCGTCGATAAAACGAGAAGAGACGTCCCGTCTGCGAGAACCGGGACGGCTAAAATTAATATTAGGTCATCTCGTCGACCGTTACCCTCCTTGTCGTCCCAAAATTTGCAGTCGAAGCATCTCGAGCGGCGAGCCCGTTTCTCGTTTCAAATTTACGACAACGTTTAGAGACATATCCGGCTCGCGCTCCTTCGGCAGCCGTTTGTTCGTATGCGACGGAACACGGATCAGACAGTGTTCTCAGGAGTGTTTTCTGTTTTCAGTCAATTCGAAGGAACGAATTTTCAACGAGATAGCACAATTTTGTATCACGATCTCGAAATTCATTGTTGGCTACCGAAGGATTAGAACGAATATTTTTCTTGGAAAAATTCTTTTTTTTCTCTCGTTCACTTGAGAGACTACTTAACACTTCCACGATCGCGCCAGAAACCTAAAAAATTTCATAGAATTATAGTATTACGAAGCAAACTTATATGGCAATTACTTCTTCAACATTCGTACTTCTTGCAAATCTTAATAAAATTAAGCGGTCATTTTCAATTAGACGTGCAAGACTTCCCCAATCGTTCATCGATCGACTGAATTTCAAACGGGCAGATCTTCCCATTCGGTTGGCTAAGTGTTAACATAATTCCGTTAAACTGTTCCTACACCGGGACAGCGTTTCGAAGAACGCCTTTCGATCGCAAAAAAATTTGCAGCTCGAACGATCGACTTTTCAGTGAGATGTCGCGATTCTTTTGAGTCATGAAGAATCGAAGACTCGGTTCCAAAATAAACTGCGACCGAAAGAGATGCGCTAGGGCGATAGTTGCGCAGTAAACTCCGCTGTCCTCCATTGTAAATGGAGCACGGACCGAGCTCCTAAAATCTGAAACGGTCGACCGGCGTTCCGACTCCTCGTTCCAGGAAAATTGAAACGGCTGTCAGTCGACGACGAGAGATCGGTTTGGAAATCGGATGGAAAGGAAGGTGTTCGCCTGCAGGCGACGTTCGAGGGAATCGGGCTTGGGTTATCGACCTCGGTGCTCGGTCTTCCGACTCGCTTTGTCGCTCTTTTTTAATACTGTACGCTGTACGACGATCGCGGCGAAATCGCGGCGTAACGGGACCTAGAGTAAACCGTAAAAACCTCGTGGAAACGTCACGGCATTGACTTTCTTTGTTCCGACGGCGCGCGAGTCTCGAGCGGAGCCGAGCCGAGCCGATTTAAGAAAGAGGGAGAGAAGAGAGAGAGAGAGAGAGAGAGAGAGAGAGACGCGGAGAAGAAGCAAGAAGGGCCAAAAGCATAATTTTGCTCGTCAGTGCCGGTTTCGCTCTAAGCCGATCGCGCGCAAGCAATTAGGAACCAGATACGTGTCAAACACGGCCTCTCGAATGACTCATTAACGTTCGAATCGGGCCGAGTGCGCCGCCTTCCTTCCTTCGGGCCGTTACGATCGCATTATCGATCGCTCGACCCGATCCTATCGACGCCCAGCAATTCTCAACCGGCCTTACGCGCGCGATTCCTTCCTCGAAACGAAATGTCGCACGAGTACGAGTTTAATTGCTTGTAACCGGCTCGCTTCCAATTTTCCCAGACACGGACAAATTTGAAAACGTGCCCCGAAACCCGTTCAAATCCGCTCGTCCAAGATCCGTATCGATCGGTTATATAATTTCGTTGCAGAAAAATCGCGAAGTCAGCCTAAAACATAAGCCCACCCCCCATCCCCTTTAATCGTTCGAAGCCTCGCAGTTCGATTTTCCTTACGTCCGCGCGGAAAAATTTGAAGATTTCAAACGAGGAACCTGTTCGAATCCGCGGCGAAGCCCCACGGCGATGGCCCGTTCCGCGGTATCGTTGCAGAAAAATCGCGCACTCAGCCTAAAATAGAACCGGGCCGTGTATATTCGCCCCGGAAAGTTCTAAAGCGCAGCGAATGCATATAAAGTCCGTGGTCTAATTGCGGGCTAAAAAACGATCGTTTGTTGCCGCCGCCGCGAGTGTATTGAAAAAAGCCGCGGAGACAGGCCGCAATTAGCGTGTCGGTTGCTCGTTGGCTCGCGTTATAATG